AAAAAACAAGCCGAAACAGTGACAGCTGCCCAGTGGCAGGGGTGGTGGTGTGGTGTGTGAGACAGTGGTGCAAGGACAAACATCACAGCCAAACCAAGTTCTACATCCTGCCACTGCTGTTCTAAGTACGATAAGCTCATGAAAGGAACTCATCTCCTCTCACTAAACTAAGGGGCCAAGGTCACAAGTTGCAAGCGCGCACTCTACCACCTACTGGGTTCTCAGCTTCCTTCACTGCGGGTCATCCTACTGCCTGAAGCATCTAATGCTTCCCGTACAATCTAAAGTTAGTCCATTAGCACCACTTTACCCCCTGTGACATCCTACATGTATTTTTTAATAAATTACCTGGATTATTTGTTCTGTATTTTGACTAGAACAAGGCAGAGTGTTTCTAAGTGTCCATATGAGGCAAAGAGCCTCCTGGTGAAAAAGAGAACTAAGAAGAGGGAAGAAAAATGAGCAAAGCTCATGCCAAAACAAAGCACTTGACTGCATTAGTTTTTGATGTGCAACCCACATCTAAGCAGTCCTACTAGTGACCTTTCTCCTAATCCCTGATAATACTTGCAGTTTTGTTCTACAGGGGCACTTTCTATAATCCAAGCATTTAATTACATGGTATCTAGTAAATTTTTCTTTGAGGTATAACAAGGTTTCAGTTGAGTCAAAAATACTTCTTACAAAACCATCTCCTATACTTCCTTCCATCCCTTTCTTGCTATAATAATTCATTTTTAGATTAACTTGAATGTAAAACATTTTTTATTCATTTGCCAATACCAATTACTACAATTAAGTATATACTTTATTGAAACAGTAAAAACTGTGTCACTATTTTACTAAGAAAAAAAAAACTTGAAAATCTCAAGTGTATGGTACATTACATATTTACAGATTTTAACATATCTAAAGTGGTAATACATGGAAGGTGTGTGTGTGTGTGTATGTTTGTGTATGTGTATAAATATGTATCTCCCCGGGAGATTCTGCATTAGTAAGTCTGCAGTGACCACCTCCCAACCCCATATTTTCAAAGAGCTCCACAGTTGATTCTGTCACACATTTCCTGGCTAAGAACCACAGAGAAAGTACATTTCAAATAGCTTTCAATACCCATGCCCTCTATTTAAAGTATGCCCCCCAAAGAAAACAATCTGGGCCAATAATTTTAAATTCTAGTTCCAGAAAGTTTGCATCAAGGTATCTTGTTTTTAAATCTCCCATTAAAAAATGTAGTAACCTGACTTTTCATTAGCAGAAAATAATTTTTTTAGAGCCTACTTATGGTTTAAAATATGCTTCCTATAAAACCACAGCATCATCAATTAAGGAAACATTTATAATTCTATATTTATAAATACTGTAGTATTTATGATTGCTTACATAATTTTATTTTGCCTATCTTAAAAAAGAACATACACTTGCTCTCCTCTCCTACATTTAAAGAATAATATGTTAATGCTTTTCTTTGAAAGAGTTAAAAGCCCTTAAAATATTTTATTAACATAGCACCCAATAATAATGATGAAGGCACATAAGGTATAACAGTTATTTTTAATTGAATGTTAAACTTTTTTCACTAAATGTTGTGCCCATCTAAAATATATACAATGAAAAAAATAAAAAATTTTCCTAGATCATTAATGAGTAAGGGAATATATATGGTATATATATATATAATATATTTTTTATATATATATATATATACACACACATCAAAGAAATTCCATATTTCTTTGATTCTAAGACCCGTTTTACATTTTGACATTCCTGAATTACGAATGCATCTTATAATCACTGGCATATCATATTGGAAGAATTTTTAAATTTTTGAATGGTGCTTCTTACAATTAATGGCACCTTAGATCTGATGAACTAGTTTGTTTAAAAAATATTTTTTCAAACTAAAAGAGGCAACTTATTCTTCTTAAATGTAACAAAACTGCCCCATTCCCAAAACAATCCCTAATGTGTCACTCCATAAAGCTGTATTTTGTATGAGTGAAAATGGCCAACAAATTTGTGAAAGCAACTAAATTATCAGAACAAAGGAAACTGTCCTGGTAAGAACTCATAGTTTAAATAGTAACTGTATTAATTAAACATTATAGGAAGTCATTTCCAGAGTTTTAAACAAGCAATCTTAATACTATTCCATCTTACAATGCTTTCCTAGTATTCTGTCCACCCTATACAACGAAATAAAACTAAAGTAACGTTTCACTGATGATGCGCTGTAAAGACTACCCTGCTTTAAAAGAAGTTTCTATCTACAATACACATGACCAAAGTGCAGTATATGCACTCATGCTAAGAACAGAAGCCAATGTTCAATGAAATGTTTAAAGACGAAAAAAAATTTAAAGATGAACTAATGTCTATTAATGCTGCAATCTACTAACACCACAGGAAGCCATACCATTCTCTATCACAAGTAAAAACTATGTGACCTCATGTCTGAAGTAATTACTGCCTGCAGCAGTTCAAACTATTTTATTGAAATACTTAAGTTACTCCCTGCACATTTCTAATTGCTAGCATTCCAGTGACAGCAGTACTGTGACCAAAAGTGTCAAAAATGGGATAGGTCTTAAGTCAAATTTTAGCAAAGTAAGACAATTAACTTTTCTCTCCATCATCTAAAAAAAAATAGTGAAAGTATCAGTTTTGGAAATTTGGTATCAGAATGAATACTATCCTTTCACTCAAATATTACACAACAATAAAGGATAAAGTGAGCATAACTACACGTAAATGTTTTTCAGCTGTTGTAAGAGTGTCCCACATTTTCAAGATGGGTCTCAAGGATACAGTACCGACAGCTGATCAGCAAACTTCCACCATCAGAATCTTCAAGCCAGTGTAATACCTGTACACATCTTGTTTTCAAGTTTGCACATGAAAGCCCAAGGGTGATAAAAAGCTTGGGATAAAAATTCACTGAAAAGTCTCCCTTTTCTTGGTGGCTACTTAATACAAGTGAATGTCAATTTTAATAATGATAAATGTAACTAAAGTATTGAATAGTTTGAAAGAAATTCCAGTTAATATAATTTCCTTAAGGGCAAGGCAAATCTTTCCAGAACATTAAAACTTTGTACCAGTTATCACAGTTTCCCCCATTACCCCAAGGAAATGATATGAAACCAACTCAAATTACTGGACTGAATTCAATGACCTTAGAAATAAACACCAGATTTCCATTCTCATCTACTTTTCCAAAAATCAAAATAAGTAACATACTATTTCTATTTCAGAACATGTAAGAAGAAAAGAATATTTCTGGCGAAGAACCTTAAAGATCTCTAGATCAGAAGAGGTAAGCAAAACCACCTAATTTTAAATGGCTGGTGTATGGCTATCATTTCTGGGGGAAGCTTGACAAGCATAACTGAAGAATTTTAGATAAATAGAACCAATGATGAATTATCGGAAGAGGAAACAAATGACTATTCACAGGACCAAATGAAAGCCTTCGTTAGAAACAAAAAAACAAAACACCAATGGTTTTATATATGTGTGTATATATGCAAAACCCAAAGGAGAAAACAATCAGCAAATAAATGAAATGCAAAAGCAAATAATAATAAATATAACAGGAAACTAATCCCCGATTTTTCTGCTACTCAGGTTTACCTTGGAGGCTAATCTGAAACAGTGTCATGCAGAGCCTACAAAACCCATGATGGACACACTGTTTCTGGAATACAACTTAATGCTTTCAAATCCACCAACATCCACAGCTCTACATTCTGTGCAATTAAGGAATTCACTTTAGACAAGTGACCAGTAAGTGTCAGTAAGTACAAGCACTATCTAATGCAGAATAGCAAATATAATGTGAAAGAAAGCAATGCAAGCATTTACGTGAAATTTGGCTCCATGCTAAATCTGACTTCATGCTTAACTGTACTAAAAAAGAACTGCCATACTGTCAATGTATCTCTTTACAATATTTCTTATTTTATCATCACAGAGGCTAAGAGCTGTAACTCTGAGCAATGTCAACTAGCCAAATTTCTCTAATTTTCTACCTAGCTTTAAAGAATATTTTATTATCTGAACTATCAACTTTCTATTTTTCTCTGTATGTGCATGAAACAGACATACAGAGAAACAGAAAAATCTACATATGACTTACACAATAAATATGCACAGATATTACATATATACTAATGAGACTGCATGATTTTTTGTTTCAAAGTACATGCTTTTTCCACACACGGTTCTTTGTTGTTGTTACTAAGAGTAATAGAAAATTTCTGCAACAACTAAGCACATGCTGCTAATGATCCATGGTTTTAAGAATTTGTAGGTTAAAAAAATACAATTCCTAGAACACTGTTATCAAACAAAGAAGTTTTATTGGCATCTAAAAACAAAGTTCACCCAACATTGAAACGTACTTTAATATATTGATGTTGTTTTCTTTTTTTCTTTTGAACTCACTGCAGTATGAGGAACAAATCACAAACACTTACTTTGGAGAAACAGAGACCAGAGTGTAGATTTTACAAAATCACTTTTTAAAATCTCTGTATTTGTGCTCCTCAAATATTTAGAGCCAGTCTTTGCATAAAATATCACAGCTTTGTCTATTACCTTAAAATTCTGCAGCAGCCTAGAGATATGGATAAGATATACCATCACTTGCTATTCTGAAATATATCTATTACCATATCCAACCTAATGGTAGTATCTAAAAAAAAATTCTTTCTTCCATAGGAAGTCTCTGACAAGCTGTTATTCATTTCCTTGAAGTTAAAAGAATCAGGGGGCAACATTTATATTTTATCAGAAAAATAAAAAAATGTTTACCTACCATGTTCATATTAAGAACAATGTCTATACAAGTCAGTTGTACAATTATTTTAAGAGAAAGGTGAACATGAACATCAGATTAACTTAATTCTGGCAGACAAAAGTGAACAACTATGGTCCAGTCAGCCATTAATCTATTACAGAGAGATGACAACTTTACAAAATGTATCTTTTACCTACTGAGTGATGATTATGTCCCCTCAGTTTCTGTGCTTTCTACCACTGGTTCACTCTCTATATCAGCAACTGTGTCACTCTTCTCCTTGTTTATTTCACTTGAAGATGCCAGTTTTTCATACAGTTCAGGATCACTCTGCGCTGGTAAAGGTGGTGGCTGGGCGTGTCTCTCAGTATTTTCACCATTAACCTGAGGCACATTATCACCTTTTCGTTGAGAAGTGGCCCCTTCAAAAAACTCAAAAACCCGAGCATGAGGAGGGGGGATCCAGGTGTTTTGAATTCTATCTCGTCCAAGACGATTCCCATTCATTTCTCTGCAGAAATCAAAATCTCTGTCATCCCTGTCCCTCTGCCTCTCCCAGGGTCTTCTGCGGTCATCAAAATCTCTGTGAACTTCTTGTCCGAATCCTCTGTTCCAAGGACCACTTCGAGGATCAAACCGGTAGTTTCCAGACCGAAATCTACCTCTTTCTTCATGTAAGCCTTTCGGACCGCCATAGACAGGTAGAACTCGATGCTCTCGCTCATCAAAATCTCTGTGCCCCCAGGGCTTCTCTGGATTAAAGCCAAAGTGGTCTCTTCGGCCAAGATGATCTATGCCTGGCCTCACGAGATTCTCCCTGATATCTACCGGAGGTCTTCCAAAATGATCTCTACCATCTAACGGAGGCCTTCCAGGCCCTTCTCGTGGATCAACAGGGCGTCCAACCACATCCCTAACATCCACTGGGGGCGGTCTACTGATGGCCTCCCTGGGTTCGATGGGAGGAAACCGGTAATCTCTGTCACCTTCCTGCTGAATGTTATCATTTCCAAGTGGTATCCTTTTTTCTGGGTTAGGAACATTGTCTACATTTTGTCTTCCAGGAACTAAAAAAGGTCTTTCAGGTGGACTAAAAATATCTCCTGGAGGAAAAGGACCACGGGGTGGTGGATGCAGAGCTGAATCAAGTACTGCTGGGGGAGGGAGTCCCCGCTGGGGTGGAATTCCAGGCTGTATTAAAGGGAATCGTGGTCCAGGCGTCTGTGGTATCAGTCCTGGACGAATGTCTAACATTGGCATTGCAGGCATCCTTTGATTAGGAAGATTTAAAGGGGGTAAATTTTGAGGCCCAGCTGGTGGTTGTGTTCCCAAAAGCCCAGAAGTACTTGGAACACCAGGTGGCTGTACTCCGAGAAGTCCAGAATTATTGGGCATATTTGGGGGGAGCACTCCCAAAAGTCCAGAACTACTTGACACATTTGGTGGCTGTAATCCCAAAATTCCAGAGTTATTTAGGATATTTGGTGGCTGGGGTCCAATAATCCCAGAACTACTGGAAACATTAGATGGCCGGACTCCCAGAATTTCATTATTACTGGATACGTTTGGTCTTTGGACTCCCAGAATTCCAGAATTGCTTGTCACATTTGGTGGCTGTCCTAAAATCGCAGGGCCACTTGAAATATCATTTGGAATCACTAAAATGGAGAGAAAAAAAATAATCAATCACCCTGGTGTGAAAAATAAACTACAGAGTCAAGCCCCCTACATGGGAGCCTTCAAAATGTGAACTTTCAAAGATGCCAACACGTGTGCACAGGCCCAGCACCCAGGTCACTGGCACGCACCGTGGGCGCTCACTGCCCAGGGCTATACACGGAGCACGGTGCCACCCCACCCCCATCTCCCCCCTCCTCTAGGCAGCAGCGCGTCTTGCCTGCTCACTCAAGCCAGCCCCCGTAGGCCAACTGTCATGCTGCACTACTGTACTTTCCAAGGTACTGCACTGTGAGACTAAAAACATCTTCAGTGTTCATTTTTTATGTATTATTTGTGTGAAAAGTATTATAAACCTATTACAGTATAGTACTGTATTGCCAACGGTGTTGGCTGGCTATCTAGGCTAACTTTTGTTGGACTTACAAACATGCTCTCAGAACAGAACTCATTCATATACAGAGGATTCACAGTGTTTATGATTGTTAATGCTATAATTTCCAGTAGTTAGTCAGCTACTTGTATCTCCCCAAGAACCAAGGTATACCAGATATTAAATAAAAATTAAAGTTGAAATTATAAATACCACTCATAGTAAAATTTAAATATGAAAACAAAGTGAAGCTCTTACCTAAAATCTTTACATGAAATCTTTTTAAGTTAAACTAAAACATTAGGTTTTATACCGATTCTCCAGCTTTTTTTTTTTAAGTTTATTTTTTTTTCCATTTATTTTTATTAGTTGGAGGCTAATTACTTTACAATATTGCAGTGGTTTTTGCCATACATTGACATGAATCAGCCATGGATTTACATGTATCCCCCCTCCCAATCCCCTCTCCCGCTTCCCTCTCCACCCTATCCCTCTGGGTCTTCCCAATGCATCAGCCCCGAGCACTTGTCTCATGCATCCAACCTGGGCTGGTGATCTGTTTCACCCTTGATAATATACATGTTTCGATGCTGTTCTCTCTAAACATCCCAATCTTGCCTTCTCCCACAGAGTCCAAAAGTCTGTTCTGTACATCTGTGTCTCTTTTTCTGTTTTGCATATAGGGTTATCGTTACCATCTTTCTAAATTCCATATATATGCGTTAGTATAAAAAATATGGAACGCTTCACGAATTTGTGTGTCATCCTTGCGCAGGGGCCATGCTAATCTTCTCTGTACTGTTCCAGAGTGCTGCCGAAGCGAGCACTCTCCAGCTTTATTTAACAAAAGCGTTTCTAACAGTAGTGTCATTAAAAAAAAACAAAAAAGACTTGCTGCTTTCAAACAACACACTTATCTTCTAGACCTATAGCTGAATATCTGGTAGAAGCTATACCTTATATTGGTTTGTTTTAATCGCTCTGTTGGTATCCATATTTTGCGTAATCTTATTTTGATAACAACACATTAAAAAGTCCCAATAGGCCAAAAAAAAGAAGTCTTAACGAAAAGGTGTCAAAATATATACTATCCTGAATAGAATGCCAAATTAGTTTTTAATAGAAATTTTAGGAGACAGTGATTTTTTTGTTTTTTAAGTTGCAATATCCATGCACTGAATCAGTTACACATGCATGACACCTCAGAATTTAACACCAATACAGAGAAGTAGTACTTATGATTTAACTATGTCTTTCTGGGAATTTCTTTTTACTTTTTTTTTTTACCTGATCTGGTGCTTTCTGCAGAAGAAATCTGGTGATCAATAAGATGAGGTACTTTTTCTTCAGGCTCTGCTTGTTTCGTTGGAGGATTAAAAACATTTCCAGCTGGCAGAGTGGCAGTAGCAAGACTGCTGGCAACAGAACCACCTGGTAAAACAAGGCTACCAAATCCAACATCTTTCACAGTTTCTGGAGTCATAGATAATGGCGGCTGCACTAAAGCTGTTTAAAGAAGGAGAATATACAGTTCAGATTTAATTAGCTAATCAATTAATGTGCCAAGTTAAAATATTAAGTATGACCAACACTGGTCTTGCTGAAGTTTTAATCACCTCCTTGCCTCTTCTCCCAATTATCTGGTGAGACATGACATATGTGAGTTCTCTTCTGGTCCCTTTATTTCATTTATGATGAAAACTAACCTCTGGGAGCCTGAGTGTTTCATTTAATGGCATCTCTGTATCACTGGAAAAGACCCTGATGCTGGGAAAGATTGAAGGCAGGAGGAGAAGGGGACGACAGAGGATGAGATGGTTGGACGGCATCATCGACTCAAAGACATGAGTTTGAGCAAGGTCTGGGAGTTGGTGATGGACAGGGAGACCTGGCGCACTGCAGTCCGTGGGGTTGCAAAGAGTTGGACATGACCAAGTGACTGAACTGAACTGTATTACCCAGCACATTATAAATATAGTAACTGATACTCAAAATGATAAATGAGACATCATAAGAGGCTAAATTATACTTAGAAACCTCTTTTAAAAAAATAGGGTAAAACAGTTTTTAGAAATGTTTAGTAGAGACAAGTTTAGTAAAATAAGGACCCACACTTAAAATCGTAATTTTTCAAAGACGGGGCTTCCCTCGTGGCTCAGTGGCAAAGACTCCACCTGCCGACACAGGAGACACTGGTTCAGTCCCTGACCCAGGAAGATCCCACAAGCCGTGGAGCAACGAAGCCCGTACACCACAACCACCGAGCCCGCGCTCTGCAACGAGAGACGCCGCTGCAGTGAGAAGCCCACCTGCCGTAACTAGAGAGCGCTGCCGCAACTGGAGGAAAGCTCCCTCAGCCGAAAGTGAATCAACAAAACCAAAACCTAGTAATTTTTCAAGGATGTCAGTATGCGACTGACTGAATGTACAGAAAAGATTGGTGTAAATACAGAGACCAACAAGTGAAAGTGAAAACCTACCCAGTTCTCTAGAAATTCTAAGTACTACGGTCTTCTACATTCACTACTTTTTGTCAAATGAGGTTAGAAACTCATCAGATTAGGACTATATATAAAAAAGTACAAAGATTTCATTTTAAAGAATGGGTAGAAATGTCCTGTCTCTATGTCACATATATGTTAAAAACTAAGCTAGAGGAATATTAAAACCACAATTGAACAATTAGAAATTCTAGTCAAATTTATGTCACAACACTATTCAATCATGTACTCTGGGATTCTAAAAAGTGTTTTATCCTCACATTTAACTCCAGACTGCCTAGACAAACCGTTAACATAGAACAAAGCTGTAAAACAGGGATAAAATGACCTGAGATCCCATATGGGAATTGTGAGAATTAAATGAAACAGTGTGAACAATCAGGTGAGTATCTGGCACACAATGGTATTTCTCTTTTTCCTTTAACTGATCCCAGATTTTCCAAAATAATTAAAATAAGGAGAAATAAAACTGGGAGATGGGCTCTAAATAAGTAGGATAAGTCTCTGTGAACAGCGAATTCAGAAATGACTTCTGAACATTTTTCTAATTTTCAGAAAAAATGAACAGTTCTTCCTAATTAACCAACAGTAACATAAAAAGGATCCTCATGTTGTCTGAACAGCACCAGGAGAAGGAGGAGTTTAAAAATATAAGAAAAATGAGTTAACAGTATCAAAAGGTAGGCTCTGTATCATATATACTCTCTTTACAATAAAGTCCTTTGGTCCAATATTATGCCAAAAAGCTAAGAAGCTCTCAAAAACTGGTAATAGTAATCCCAAAAGGATAGAGCAGTAACATGGAAGGTCTCTGTACAAAGATGAACAAACTGAACTTCAAAAAGAAAAGTGAATTTAACTACTTGAAAGCATAAATCCATTAATCCATGTACGTTACTAAAAACAAAGGGGAAAAACGTAGAGGGACGGGAGTAGAGAATAAGAGAAATTCTCCCCTACCTTCAGCCACTGGGTATCACGGATAATAGAACTCATTACTCTGAAAGATGGTACTTGCAGTAAAGAATTTATCATCTACCCTGGGTCTCCTGTCCTTCAGGCAATGAAATATAATTTACAGAACAAATTCTTGCTAAGAAACATGGAAGGGATCATAAAATTTGGAAGATCACTTTGCAACTAATAAAAGGTAGATTCTGGCAATAATAATCAAAGGATGAAAGCATCAGACGACAGTGTGAAAGGCGACTTTTAATGACCAGGTTCCACCATCTGAATGGAGGTTCCACCATTCTGACATCATTAAAAGTGAACCAGAAGACACTGCATGGCTCTTGATGTGAAGTAGTATCAAGCCCACAGAACCCCACTTGGTAAGTTTTCTTACCAAAAACGGTGAGGCATGTTGTAAACAAGTCTATGGTGCTAAAAACTTTCTATCTGCAGGAGGTTCAAGAAGACAGAAAAACAAATTCAACACCACAAAGAAGCAAAAAGCCCAAATCCATTATCTGGGATGCTACTAGAGAAGTGAGGGCTTCCGAGGTGCTGCTGGTGGTAAACAATCTTCCTGCCAATGTGGAGATGTAAGAGATAGGGTTCGACCCCTGGGTCAGGAAGAGCCCCTGGAAGAGAGTATTGCAACCCACTCCAGTATTGTTGCCTGGAAAATCCCTTGGACAGAGGAGCCTGGTGGGCTATCAGTTCATAGGGCTGAAAAGAGTCGGACACAACTAAAGCGACTTAGCACAGACACATATAAAAATGAACTACTTTTCAACAAGTCAAAGACATGAAGGATTTTTAAAAAAGGGAATGTGGGTGGAGCTGCTCCAGATTAAGATATTTTACACATAAAACAAAACAAGACAAAAAAACAAAGATATGAGAATTTTGATTAAAATAAAACAATTATAAAAAAATTTTGATCCAATAGAGCAAATCTGAATATGGACTGTCATACAATACTGTTGATTTGTCAGAAATCATTTAACCCAAAAAACAACAACAAAAAATGCATTTGTCTGAAAACCTTCAGAATAAAAAAATTAACAATAATTCACAAGAATGAGAATCAACAGATAATTTTTAAAGTAGAAAACTCACATGTTGGTACTACTGGTGGGATAGCAGGTGGTGGTACAACAGGGGGTGGAACTGGAGGAGGCATGAAACCTGCATGGGGAAAAAAAAGACCAAGAATAAAATAACAACAAAAAAGTTACTTTCTTTTAAATCAAAGATTTCAACAGCTATAAATGAAATTCTACATTCATTATATAATCATTACTGCAACCTCGTATTTATGAATATATATCCATTTAAATAATTATTTTTATGTACACAACCTTGTTTGACACTTAGTTGGCTAAAAAGTAAAAGCGCAGGGATCCCTGTCATGAACATATACTATTTGTTTACTCATTCGCCTCAATCCTGTGGCACGCTCTATGACACTGCAAAATCAAACATTAATTCAAGCTAGGCAGCCTGTTTCTATGTTAGCTTGATGACTGCATGGGGGGGGGGGGGGAGTTAAAGCACTGTATTTCAAGCTGCTGGTAATATTATATGCAATAATGTCACCCGTAAAATGCACTACTGTATTTCTCTGATATATATATATATGCTGTTTATCCACTAGACCAGAGTATTTGCATTAATTTTGTGTGTTACTATGGTTTGTTTTGAGCACTGAAACAAACCTTAATAAAAATAAATAAATAAAATAGATTTACTACTGGCAGTTTCATGATTTTAAATATCACATGATGCAACTATAAACCTGCTTCTCTGTATTTTTAAAATACAGAGCTACCATTAAATTCCATTATAAAAGGTGGCTAAAAATAATGGGGAAAAAATATGATTTTCAACAAATGAATGCAAACATGTGTATGGTGTTTGAAATACTATGTATTTCTTCTGAGAAAAGAAATCTTCTGAGAAATATCTTCTGAGAAAAGTTTAATTTTCAATGACAGAGAAGATATTTTATGAGTAATTCTCTAATATTTAAAATATAAAAAGGTACAGTTCTTACTAAAATCTTCATCAACTTCAAATTATATATTAAACTATAATTTAAAAATTTTATGTTACATGACAAATTACAACAGACAATGAGTTTAATTTTTGGCTTTGTTTTCAGTTTTTAGGAACTGTATTCAACAATGGCTAAGGATTTAAATTACAGAAATCAATTCAGTCATTCTTTTCATAATACACAAATAATTCATAAAGTTCAAAAAAACAATTTTGAAAAACAACATGTATCATTTGATCCCTTATTCTTCTAAACCTCCCATGATCTAATAATAAAAACCTCTAAGCTCTCTATATCTCTTACATATAAGCAATTAATTATATTTAATTGATATGTGTTAAGTAATCCATCATTTTTACATGGAAACAATGATTTAAGGACCTTTTTGTTTACCAATAATTAACTAGGTCAAAAGAATTACTACAAATTCAATTAGCACTTTAAGATATACTTTAATTTCTAATGTCAAACTGGAAATCTAATAATTTTTAGGATGGCTAATCTACATATTATTAGATCCAGAGTGGCTCAGATGGTAAAGAATCTGCCTGCAATGCAGGAGACCTGGGTTCAATCTCTGCGTAGGGAAGATCCCCTGGAGAAGGGAATGGCAACCCACTCCAGTGTACTTGCCTGGAGAATTCCATGGACAGAGGAGCCTGGCGGGCTAGAATCCATGGGGTCACAGTTGCCCATCATTGAGCAACTAACACTCTCACTTTTTTCAATCTATATATTTGATGCATCCTTTCTGATAAATGGGTGGTAACTATAGACTTCTATATTAAAAAATTCAAAATAAATTTTAAATTATTTTGAAGTATTTCAAAGATTTTATAAGATGCATTTCTTTTCTCTGTCAAATGCTTCTTAAAAGTGTGGTCTGTGAACAACAAGCATCAGCTGGGAACTTGCTAGAAGTGCAACTGTCCTGCCCCACTTCAGTTCCACTGATTCAGAAGGTGGCTGGGCCCAGCAATCTGTGCTTCAACACGCCCTACAGGTGATTTGGATGTAAGCTCTGGTTTGAGAATCACTGCTCTTATGGCATTCAAACTTAGAAAGAGAACAATTTAAATGACAGAATCCTAAACAGAGTTCAAATACAAGATGAATTCTTACCAGGCGGTGGCTGTGAAGGGTTGAAACTTGCTCGGAGAAAAGGTGGCGGAGGAATTGGACTGAAGCCGGGAGGAGGAACTGGCATTGACACGGGAAATGTTGGTGGTACTAAATTAACTGCAGGCACTGCTGGGGCTACTGGAATCTTGGGGATAGAAAATAAAAATGTCCATGCACCATGTTATCCATCTGCAACGATTACATCTTAGGACAACCAAAGGTAAAGGATTTCTGTTTCACAGAAAGGTAATGAACATCATCATATTAAGTTGCTATATTTTTTTCCTTTCTGTATTCTTACAAGTGAACCTACTTGAAGTAGAAGACAGTATTTTTCAACAGAGTGTATGTGGAGATTGTGAAATCTACCTTATACTCAATGCAAAAATATGGGCACCTCCTTCAACAGTGAATATCATGTTCAATCTTAAACTGCCATCTCTCACTAAGTTTGTAACACCTATGTTATGTAATCTAATCACCATTAGGAAGCATGTCACTCACTACCAGCTTTAAAATGGCTGCAATTTCCCATTAACTTGCTTTCTACTCCTAACCATAAATTCTTTTACTCATAACAGGTACAACAATTCCCAAATATTTACCTGCATTTTGGTATGGCTGGCTGTACTTTTCTCCTGAAGAAAAGTGAAAGTCTCTCAGTCGTGTCTGACCCTTTGTGACCCCATGGACTACATAGTCCATGGAATTCTCCAGGCCAGAATACTGGAGTGGGTAGCCATTCCCTTCTCCAAGGGATCATCCCAACCCAGGGATCGAACCCAGGTCTCCAGCATTGCAAGTGGATTCTTTACCAGCTGAGGCACCAGGGAAGCCCACCTCTCTCCTGAAGTTCACATGATATCAATGGATTATTCAACACCTCAATTCTGTTGTCCAGAAAGACTGTTCAGACTTTCACATGCACAAAACTGAACTTCCTCTGTCCTTCCCAAAACCACACTTCCACAGTCTTGCATTCTCCGGCAAGGGTAACTCCATCTTCCCAATTTCTCAGACCACAAACCCTGCCGCTGTTCCTTCTCACAACTCAAATGCAATCCCGTGCACTGGTCACACGACGACAATGCACCTAGTTCCGTCTGTCTCTTGCTGACTTCACCGCCATCGGTCTCGTCCGAGCCCCCGTCATCTCTCGTCTGAATTGCTGCAACTGTCTTTTAACTTGTCCCTGCTTTTATCAGTGCTCACTATTCTGTTCTCAAAGCACTTGCCAGCGCAATCCTTTAAAGCCAGATGGAGTCATTTCTTTCTTCAAAATAGTGGGTCCCCCATCTGAGAGTGAAACCGAAGTCCTCCAAGAAGTCTCCCTTTCACTAGGCCGCCTCTCACTCTCTGCTCTTGCTCACTTGTCTTTCCTGGAGCACACCCATAATGCCCCCAGCTGTGGCCTCTGCACTGGTTGCTCCCTCTGCCTCCAAAGCTTTCCTGAGATAGCCGCATGATTAACTGCCTCAGCAACTTCAGTGGTGCTCAGATGTCACTCTCAATAAAGTCTACCCTATTTTAAACTTTAAACTCCTACCAAGGCACTCCTGACATCATAGTTTTATACTACCTTCTCCCTTGCACAGTATCTTATAAACTTACTAATTTCCTAGTTTCTGTCTCGTAATGAGAATGCATGCTCCAGAAGGGCAGGGATTTATGTGTGTTTTCTTTCCCTGAGGTATCCCCTATCCCACGTGACTAGAACAGTGATTGTCACAGAGCAGGCACTCGATAAATTTGTTCAGTAAAGAAACATTTAAAAATAAATTACACCTTACAAAATGAAAATTTTAAAAATACTTATATTTAATGTTACTCTATTTTGGACAATTTCTCCCAAGGTTTATAAAATAAAACAATGAGTAAGAACAGAAATGCAGAGCACCACACTGTGCAGTGAGCCCCAGCACTGACCTGTAACACAGCGACAGGTGGGGGGAACACCTCCGCCTGGGTGGTGACCACTGCCTCCTTCTCGGCTGGAGGCGGGCTCTGACTTGTCTGCGCCGGCTCTTTAACAGGCTCTGAGCTCTTCACCGTTTCCCACTCTAAACAAAACATTTGAAATTGATTTCCTCCGAATGGATGCAGTTTTTCATTTTCTATTACTATGAACATATTTACTCCAGGTCCGAATGGTCCTTCCTGTACCACGGCTCATCTTCCAGAACTATCCACAACTCTAGGTGGTGTGGACAAACTCTATTTGGTTCTGCAGAGATAAATCCGATTAGGATACTAACAAGTTCAAAAGAACATGAAATGAGGCACAAATCAAAGATGCTAAAATATTCAGTCTAGAGAAAACACATAAAAGGGACATAAGAGACACATCACCAAGGCTGCCCAATATAAAAGGAACCAATCTTATTCTATATTTTGTCACAAGGTACAAGGGGAGCCCAACAAGAAAAACATTAACCCAATATAGAAAAATCTTCCTGAAAATATTGAAAAATGCAAAAGCAGAACAAAAAAGCTCCAAAGGGTCTGCTAAAGGTTCTTCATCTCCCTTAAAGTACACCCATCAAAGTCATCAAAATGACTAGTAAGACTTCACGTGACCTTGCCACTGTCCTCTCTGACTTCATCTCCTACTAATCACTTCTCTCTATACTCAAGCCATTCTGCTCTTGTGACCATTTAATAGACTTTGCATTTGCTGTTCTCTCTGTACGAACCACTCTTTCCCAGAAAGCTGCATATCTCACCCCTCTGAAAAATCACCTGCTCCACTAGACCCTCTTGAACCACTTAAAACTGCAAAAGCACCAAAGTCATGCTGCCTATCCCCTTGCTTTGTTTTTTCTTAGGGCTTACCAACAGCGAAATGCAATTAAGTTTATTTACTTTGTTTATTATCCATTTTTTCCCCCACTAGAACATGGGTTGGCAAACACTTCTTACTATAAGTATTCTAGACAGTGTGGGCCATGTGTTCTCCATTACAATGACTCAACTGTTGTTGAATTTTAAAAGTCATATACAATAGGCAAACACAACTGACCATGGCTGTTTCAATAAAACTTCATTTACAGAACAGGCAGCCAGTAAGATTTGGCCCATGGACTGTTGTCCATCACTGTACTACAGTCTGCACTCCAGAGAGGAAGGATTTTTGTCTATCTCACTGCTATAATCACAGTTCCTAAAATTATGCCTGGCACACAGCAGGAACTGAAATATGCTTTGAATGAATAGATGTTCTGGAAGAACAGCCATCCAAGTAAGAGAGAAGGAAATGGCAAGAATACAACAACTGAAAAAAAGTGTTTGAAAACATGTGCACTGGCCGGAGAACAAAAACACTACTCTGAAAATTAAGCTAACTTTAGTAAAAGAGCTAAGATGTCAAGAAATGAGGTATATCATATTTCAATTCTTTCCCAAGTATCCATTATCCTGTGAATTTTTAAAAATAAAAAGACAAATTTTTAAAAACAACAGGTCAGATTATCACTTGGTTATAAGCTTTCCAGAGCTCCATGAATCTCAGCTACAGCTCTCTAAACCAAGATTCTATTCCTGCCATTCTCAACACAGATACTAATCAAAATATTATAATCTAGGAAGTTTTTTAAAGAAACACCATCCTAAATCCCCAGTTCTCATTTAAACTCAAGTAAATAAAATAATTAGTCTAAAGATGCCTCCATATTCACAACTCTCTCAAAGAATGAAGCTTTAGAAAAAGGCATATATAAGAAATGCTACATTTAGAGTTGTAGAACACTACATTCTGACACTTATGGATAGATCCCAGTAAGGAGATACACTGAACACAGTAATGGCTCATTTTTTCCCCTCTTCTGTACAAGGGGGAAAAAATCCAGGAAATAACACAATTCACCCCATCACGCAAAATGTGGAGCAGCTGCAACCCTTCCAGCGTACTTTTTAAACAATAAAACGCCCTGTAGTGTTCTTACCAGTATTTACAGTTTCCTGATCAATCATGCCTCCTTCTGCAAAACCTTCCAAGTCATCCACTTTAACTTTTTCCCACGGTATATACGTAACTCCAAGATCCACATCCCAGAATTGTTTGTATTCTGTTTTCACACCTTTATTTAAAGCCCAAGCAATCTATGACAAGAAAAAAAATTTTCATTTATACTATTTTAAAAAAAAAGGTAAAACATACAAAATTATAAGCTAACAATATAAATACAAATAAAATTAGTTTCAAAAATCAGCTGGACAAAAATCACCGCTGGAATAACAATAATCAAGGAATTTTTTTCCATGTATTTTCTGATTTTTTTTGTAAAATGAAACCTGCATTAGACAGTGATGGTGTCTGTAATATGGGGTTTATTTCCACTTCTTAGTATGACCTTAAAACAATACATTCCTAAAAATAATCCAAATCTACTTTTCACCATAAAAACCTCAACTTAATTAGATATAATTATTTAGATAAAATCTTATAATTAAGCAACTAGGTATTTAGATAATTAGCTAAACGAAATCTTGGTAATCCATGAAAGAAGAGGCCAGTGACACTTCAGCTTACATAGAGAAACTCTCTGCCATAAAAGGACAAAGCATGGGTGTATTAACTCCTTTGAAAGTAATTTTAAATTTATTAATTCAGTTACAGAAATTGATAAATTATCTTCAAAACAGCAGAAATAAAATGTGAATTACAAGATGTTAAAAAGGAGACATCAAATAGTATAATTATGGGGTAGGATTAGGAAGCACTGGGAAGAAATGAAACAGAGACAAGCCTGATAAAGTTCTGCTCATAAAATGGTGTCCCGGTTGACTAAAGAGTACTGTGCAAAAAGAGTTCTTTTATTCAAAGAACTGCTTGAATAAGGTTTTGTTTGCTTATTGTTTAACCTTGAGCTAATTCTATATTTTAATAATACTGAAATAATAAATTTCTGTCAAGGTTTACCCGTAACGCTAAAAAAGGACTCAATACAGGAAACAGAATTCTAACGATTCAATAAAACAAGAGCACCACGTGTCCCCCAATCTCACCTTAATGACCTTGGATCCAATTTTATACGACCCGGAACTAAGTTTCTGAAGAGCTCGAAACGCATCTTGTCGATGAACCATGCAGACATAAGCACAGCCTCTGGGAGGAATCATCTGTTAAAAAATTTTTTTTCTTTAGAAATGGTATAAGGAGGGCAAGTGATTTCTGGAATTTTATGGTTTTAATAGAACAGAACATTGATTACTGATAATACTGAATCATTTTCCCCCTTTTTTCCTCTGGCTGTTTATTGGTACAATTCATATACAATTACTTAAAAAACAGAAAAGTTCAGAAGCTAGCTGGCACTCATTCTAAGCCTGACATACGTGAAATCTAGAATATCACATGTCAAAGTTTCACTACACAATGATGAACTATTAAAACAAAATAATGTATAAAGACATGTATATAATACCACCAGATAAATGGAAAGTAATACTGGATGGCCAACATATTTGAAGCATGTAATTTATTTACAGTAGTATTTATAATTTTCCAAATGTTATGTTGGGTACTGTGAGAAGGATTTTTGTTTGGCCAAAGTATTTTATCCTTAATATAAAGTCCAAAATCTACAACAAATAATAAAACAAGAGCTTTTCAATTTTATAAAACTTAACTTTGCCCAACTACTTCCAGACAAAGATTTTAATATGAATAGGAAGATAGCCTCAGCATAACGATCTCGATTTTTGTAGCATTTTAACTCCTCTATAAACTACCAAATCGTAAAATTATCTTTATTAATTCAGAAAAATGCATGGAGTATTTCACTTTATGAAGAACTTACAAGGTCTTCTACCACTTTATTAGTAGTCATTACATAAGCTCTATGTGAAAATAACCTTTCCCTCAGTCTTGCTAATATTTCAAGCTATCAACTCTTAATTCCAAACTTTCAAAAGAGAAGCTTACCTAACCCCTTACATAATTCACCTTTCGCAATGTAGATCCAACCCCTCCCCAAACCAGCAAAAATACTTCTTCAAGCTAATGACCTACTAAATTCTAAATCTAATGGACTCTTCTCAGTCTTCAAACTCCCCCAAAACTAACTGAAAGGTTTATTAAGTCTTCCATCAATTTTTCAAATCCTGGATTTTATCACTAGTCATTTAGTACACTTCACTTCACAAAATAACTTAATGCCTATTACTTGTAAATAATACACTATTATAAGGTAAGACAGAAGAGGGAGACAAACTGATGTCCTGATGTCCAAATGACTATGGTACAAGAAAGACTAGACATGTCATATGCAATGTGAAATACAAAATGCTACTTGGATTCAGGATCTGTTTGGAGCAATGATTCCTGGTTTTGCATCAAATTCACCTGTGTAATTATGGTACTTTGATAAGAATCCAAAGATACCGATCATGGGCATCCATGTTTTTTCAAATGTCAGCCCATGTCTGATATGCAGCTAGAGCTGAGAACCATTAGTTTAAATGCAGCGCAAAATCAGAAAAAAATTTCAGAGGTTACATAATTACACACTCTGGAAGATTAAGTTCTGACAGGTTGAAATTTAAAAAGACAAAAAGAGAAGCCTTCAACCCTTTTATGGTATCAAAAGAGGAATCTGAAATACCTAAGTTGAAATACTCAACCAATTATCTATTATTTATTAACAAATCAGTTATTTACTATCCATGTAACTCAGTGAAATCACTTAGGTTCCTCCCTGGTAAAGTAACTAAATTACTTATTAACCAGCTTCCTGTGAGGCTCCAATGAGGTCACACCCCATTGAAAGTAAAATACAAAATGGTCAAATTCAATTTAAATAAACAGCGCTGTTATTAATACCAAAAAGTTAAATTTGGTCATATAAGGAATGTTGAGACTGCAAGGACTCTAAGACTAGAAAGGAAAAACCAGTCAATTTCCTGGTAAATAATGATGAAAAATATCCAAAAGTCATTAAAGTATAGTAACTGAATAAAATCAGGGTTAAAGTCTCCTCAAACAAATGACCACAAAACATTTCATGGCTTAGTTTTAGCTCCAAGGAGAAACATTAGCCCTTCAGGAAGAAGAAAATATTTAAAGAAGGGGACTGGGTGCACGGAAAGAATCACACTGAGGAGTCAGGGAACTGTGCTCAGGTCGAGTAGGTTTTCTTGCCCCGGGGTTTGCTGAGAGAGAGAGGTGGGCAAGGGGAGGAAGGAGACTGAGACCTCCCGTCCAGCTGTGTCTCCACCATCACCGACATGCTCAGGTGCAAATAATGACAATTCTAATTCAGTTTCTCCATTTTCATTAAAAAAGGGAAAAAAAGAATTAAACCAGATCATACATATGGTTCCTGATAACTCATTTGATGTTTTTAGTACTACCACACTGCAGTAAGGCCCCTAAAAATATTTTGTAAGAATTCCATTAAAAGAAGAAAAATTAATTAAGGAGATAGCAGGAGAATAAACACAAAAATGATCAGAGCCAAATAATCCTCACAAAAATGTGATTAAGGGCAGATACAAAGTGACTGAAAACTCCCTATATTTTTTCCAAACCTTACACTATTATATTTAAGAACTGATACTTACATTAATGGACTCAATCTGTCCAAACTCTTCAAACAGGTTGGTTAAATCTTGCTGTGTTGCCTTCTTGTCCACCTGACCAACCCACAGAGTAGTACTGCATACTGCCAAGACACAAGAGACAAATGACCTAAATCACATAGGTAAGTTACTTCTTTCAAGTAGCTAACGAAAAGCACTAGTAACAGTAATAAATCAAAATTTAAAATAGCATATTTTAAATACTTATTAACTGATATTTTTGTTATGTTTAAAATCAACTAAAATGCCAGGTACCCATTCACATCTATGCCAAGACAACATCTTGCATCATCACATATTCTCAAGCTTGACAGCACACACTGGTGGATATCTGAGACACACTCTAAAAGATAATCCAAGGTAAGTGGTACAGAACATTGGGAATTGGGGTAGTTTAAAAATTCTGTAGGTGATCCTAATGTGCAACAAAGTTTCAAAATCACTTTTCACTGCAATCCTATTTGGGAACCTTTTAAATATCTTTCTGTGCTGGAATGAACAGTTAAATCTGAAAACAGTATCTTACCCTTAAGAAAAGAATAATTTAGATTAAAAAAAAATACAAAAAGGAAAAGGCTGATTCAGAACCCAACTTGTTACCATGAAAGACCCAGGGATACTAAAAGCCGGAAGTCACTTCCCTTTAATAAATAAATGCTACACATGAGACACATCTGGCCTATTTTTGGCTGCACTGTTCATGCTGTCAGGAACATCTCCTTTCCCTGAAAACATTTACTTTAAAAATACTTACAGCTGATATATTTGCAGAGTTTTATTATATTTGGATTTGTGTCAATATTATTTTTTTAAAAAGTCTCCAGCTTTTGGGTTACTGTTTAAAGCTAATTCAGCCCCACATTAAAATATGACCATTGCAAGGGATTTACCAAACGTGGATTTCAATCAGGCCTCTCTACTCTGGCTGGTCAGAACGTGAATGTCTTCCAGACCTATGACAGCTTTGGAAATCATTCAGTTAATAGATCCCTGGAGATTGTTCTCTCCCTGCTGTTTGTTCTGGATCTCATGAAGCTCACCTGTCCATTCAACCAAAGTCTAAAAGGGCAATGTAGTAGTTTTCTTTTGTTACTGTAACAAAACACCACAAAATCAGTACCTTAAAACACAAAAAGGTAGCTTTCTACACCTCTGGTGATCTAAAATCAGTCAACAAGTTGCCCTCCTTCTGGAGGCCCTCAAAGCAACTCTGTTTCCTACCTTTGCTGCCTAGCTTCTACAGGTAATCTGCATTCCTCAGCTCACGATCCCAACCCCCATGTTTGAATCAGGGTTAGGAGAGCACCAGCATTATTAATCATTTACTACTGGCTCTATCAGGTAAAATTCTGGAAAGACAGCCAAGGCTGGTTCAGATTGCTAAAATGTAGTAAAAAGATGCTGTCACCTTTAATTATATGCCTGGGTTTCCAGGATGCTTCAGCAAGGTAAGCTGTACCAGTAACCCATCTATCTCCATGGCAGAAAGATTTATTTGGAGATCTTCAGAAATCAGGCAACCTGATCAGTGTTCAACTCTTGGCAAAGAATGACAATTTGCTCCATTTTATGTACTTCACCCATCTGCAACCTGTTCGTTCACCCTAAAAGTCATAACCGACTAAGAATCATGCGGGTAGAATCCCGCACTAAGTAGGACTTATTTTCCTATACTTCACATGCCTGTCAAACCAATGCTCCTGGAGGTTTCTCCCAAAACAAACCCCCACTACTACCAAATTTGGTCTAATCATACATTATAGATTAACTATAAAGAAGGGAAAGTTTACAACAGAACTCTCTCTTTCAGTACTGATCAAGTTTATAATTAGCTTTAAATTGGCATGCTTCCCATAATAATTACTCCTATAGACCCGGTGTTCAAAATTGGTTAGGACACTACATATGGAAATTATGGTGTCAGTGAAATATTATAGATACAAGGCCTATTCTACTTTGTAAATCATTAGTCAAGTCATATTTTTAAACTAGTATTAAAAAAAATCAACTCTCATTGACTTCAGTATTTGAGTAGAAACCTGTTAATTTTCTTTCTCCTCTATCACATTACAAAAACCAAACCAGTTTTCAACTTCTCATTCTGAAAACTCAGGTTGAGAGATTGTGTATTAACAGCAGGTAACTATTTTCTCAATGTTACTGAAACCAAAGCTTATAAAGTACATCACTTACCACTTAATGTTTTAGATCTAATTGGAGGTAATCCCTTCTTCTGTCGTTCTTTCTCCCTTTCTCTAGCTCTCCTTTCACTTGAGTATGAACGTGATGATTTCCTTTTTCTTTCTCTAGAGCGGGAGCGTGATCGCTTTCTGTGCTTACGCTTTCGAGAACCAGATCGTGACCTAGACCGTCGTTTTCTTGGTGATCTACCAAAAAAGAAAACCAAACCCTTATTTTACTAATGACAAGGTAAAGTATCAAACATGCACTCAAATCTCTACACTGCTACATTGCTGAGGTCCACATTAGACACAGATGCTTGTCTGCAGTGATTCTTATTGAGTCTAGGTGGTACAAGGAAGAAGAGAAAGAGTCTAGTGAGGGTCTTACTTTCTCTTAGTGTCTAATTTACAAACAAGAGTCAAGAACAGGGATGAAAGACAGAAGAAAACAAGATTCTTTAGGTGACAAAGATGTTATATTCTTAAAATTAGGAAACAGTGTTTTCAACAGTAGACCACTAAACAATTCTGTTTATAGGTTTTCACCTTCTAAAATCTCATGGTACTTAACTTTACAACATAATGTGATACTCAAATACTATTTCTTTTTTCCTGCCAATCATATGCCACTGAACTCTATCCAAAATACTCCTGTGTTGCAAAGACAAAGAATCTGCTAAGACAAAGACGTTTTCAGGACTAACACTGTAATTCCCTGGAGAGAAGTTTAGAGAAAGAACTGACAGGCTCTTACTTGCAAGGAAATTCTTGAAAATAAATTCCTAAAACGTCCAAGTAAATACAAGGAAGTTCTTAAAACACACAAGAAACAACTGAAAAAGCCATGGAAGATACTGCCCCTCTTCCAGCATTTACTGTTCAGGCTTTCTGGGGCATTCGTGTGCCAAAAACACATCACAAAAATGTTACAGATTAATGACTTTAAGTTTTAAGGCAGTTTATAGCAAAGATAACATATATTTAAGACAGTTCAAAACAAAAACAAGAAAATTTACCAGGTTAAGAATAATGCATTTTAACTCAAATTTGACTAAAGTTTGCACACAGCTATTTTTAAATAGTACTGCAGAACCTTGAACGAGATCGGGAGTGTGTTCTTGATCTTGAACGAACAGCCACTTTCTTTGCTTCCTGTTCAAAGATCTCCTCTTCCACTGCATCTTGCACTTCATCTATATCCATATCCTTAAAAGTCAAAGGAACACAAACAAAATGCCTGGTTGAGATTCAATGTTTACTGATCATTTCTGCATTCCAAAATATTCACCATAGTAACATTAATGCCTAATAGTAAAATGGTTACAATGCACAGCTTAACATGGAGGAAAAAACATTCAGGTTTATATTATTTTAGATAAAATAAAAAATATTACCATATTTTAAGATTTTTTTCTGAAATCAATTTTAGAACTTTATTACCCAGGAAAACATTTACTTTTTACCTGTTGCTGAATATCTATGGAATCATCCAAATTTGCTTCAGGTTCAAGGAAATGCTGCTGACTGCTCCCTTGTGATGGTGATGCAGAATGCTCTGACCCAAATGTTCCTTCTTGACTATCCTGAGGAGTTGCCTGTTGAGAATGTGCACAAACACGCAAGCATTGGGAAATAATGAATAATATTATAAATGAAAATTTACAGGCGAACATCACAATCAAATTTTTAAAAAGAAACCCAATACCAAAAGGATCCTGTTACATCTTTAATGATCAATCTAAAATGGCACTTATGTATAAATCCAAGTTTACTTCAAAGCGTAGAATACCCCCATAAAGGGGGATACTGTAACACTAGAAGAGACTGGTAAGATTAAGAAAGTCTCTAAACAAAAGTTTTCATTGTGGAAAAGATAAACTATCACAAATAAAGGGACTGTATCATGAGTGATATATAAAGAATTAAGTCACCCACTATATATACACAAGCAAAAGGAAAGCTCAAACCTGAATATCAAAATCACTGATCCAGTAAAATCAGTTTAGAAATTGGGTCTTTTTCAACCTCCACCTCTACGAATTCACAAAACAGTATTAGGAAGTACTCAGATATGTAAAACATTTCAGAAAGACTAAACAAAAGTTAGGCAATGAAGCCTAACTATAGGAAAGAACCAAATTTAAACCTCTCCCCAAACCTGGGACAATTACAGCAACTTGATACAGGGACTCTGCTCGTGTGATGCTAATCTGTGTGAACTTGCTTAGCAATGCATAATACTATGATGTCAACTAAAACTGAGAAATTGATTATTATGAGAAAAAATGACTCCCTACTTAAACATCCTAAAACATGATCTCACAGGTGCTAAAGATGAATAAAAAGATTCCCTGGTGGTACACAAGTTGGGAACTACTGAATATCATAATTAACAGAAAAGAGTAACTCAAACTACCGTTCCCTTCCTACAAATCTATGACTAAGAACAAAGCTACTCTCGCTGTGAATATGTCTCTGTGTGTAAAAGGAATACAGTTTGGTGATTATAGAGAATACTGTATTATAAATTTCAAAGTTGCTAAGAGACTAAATCTTAATTGTTCTCACCACAAAAAAGAAGTAATTATTTGACATGATAGAGGTGTTAGCCAACAAACAGAGGTACTCATATCTCAATACATAATCATATCAAATCAATATGCTGTACACCTTAAACTCACACAATGTTATGTCAATTATATCTCAATTAAAAAAATTTTTTTAATTACTCTTATTCTAACGACATTTAAACTGAAAGAAAAGCAAGCAGTAGAAAAACTGAGTCAATAAAAGCATAAAAGAACCATTCCAATGTATTAATTTATGAAGGAACAGGCTCCCCAAAGACAAGTAACATTTTCAAGGTTTAGAAATAAATTAAAGCTAAAAATCTTGTTAATTAAATGCCTGCTTTATTGCACACAATTGACCAAAAGTTGGTAAACATGTATACTTTTGAGAACAAATCAAAGTATGTTTTAAGCACAGTCCCAGCTAATGCCTTCAAAGTGGTACAATAAAAATAAAATCCTTAACAACACAGCAAGATAATAGTCCATTTTATCCCAAGCCTTACTTTTTGGCCCCAATTCAGTACTGCTACATCCTTCACATCACGTATTTCTTAGCTCACCACCCACCTGGAGCATCCCATCTACCATTCACCTCACCTCTGTCTTTCATCTCTGATTTTTTGCGTAATAGTCTGGTTGGTATAACCAGCAGAATCCACTGCAACTAATGTTAGATTCTGAGGTTCTTTTTGAGCCGTTTTACCTATTTGAAAAGGCTGTGGTTCCTGTGGTTCTTTATTTTTTTCTTTGAGTTCTTATGAAGAACAAAGAGAAAATTTACTTTTATTTTTTTAAATTTACTTTTAAAATTCAACTACAGGGCTTACCAGGTGGCTCAGTGGTAAGAATCCACCTGTAAATGCAGGAGACACAGGTTGGAGCCCTGATCTGGGAAGATTCCACATGCCACAGAGCAACTAAGCCCGTGAGCCACAACTATTTAGCCTGTGTTCTAGAGCCGGGGAGTCGCAACTTCTGAGCCCACGTGCTGCCAGCTAGTGAAGCTCACACGTCCTAGAGCCTATGCTCTGCAACAAGGGAAGCTGCTGCAGTAAGAAGCTAGCTCATCCCAACTACAGAAAAGTCCAAGCAGCAAGGAAGCCCCAGGGCAGGAAAAAAAATAAAACTGTATTAAAAAATTATGATAAAATTAAACTACAATTTACTTTATGATCTTGCAATTAGCATTAGGTCGACTGGACACTTAACTACATCTAAGGTCTAAGCTATGTTATAGGACCTTAGAGGTGTTTTTCTCCTGTATATTGAAACATTTTGCCATTTCATCATCCTAAGAATTATTCCACTATTACTCATCAATTACTCCAAACTGTGAAAAAAACCCTAAAATAATAATTTAAAAAGTAGGGAGTTGTTGAGAAGGTTGATTCAACCGTGAAATAAACCTTCCTTCAGTTTTACTGCATCACCAAAAGTATTGCACTATATTTCAAAAAGGTATAAATAAGAACTGGATCACAGAAAAAGCAAAAAAAAAAAAAACCCCAACCATTTACTTCTGCCTCACTGACTATGCTAAAGCTTTTGACTATGTGGATCACAACAAACTGTGGGAAATTCTTATATGGGAATACTAGACCACCTTATCTGTCTCCTGGGAAACCTGTATGCAGGTCAAAACGCAACAGCTTAGAACATGGAACAGACATGGAACACCGAACTTGTTCAAAGTTGGAAAAGGAGTACATCAAGGAGGTATATTGTCACCCTGCTTATTTAACTTATATGCAGAGTACATCACGCAAAATGCTGGATGAAGCACAAGCTAAAATCAAGATTTCTGGGAGAAATATCAATAACTTCAGATATGCAGATGATACCACCCTTATGACAGAAAGTGAAGAGGAGCTGAAGAGGTTCTTGATGAAGGTGAAAGAACAGAGTGAAAAAGCTGGCTTAAAATTCAACATTGAAAAAACTAAGATCATAGAATCTGGTCCCATCACTACGGCCAATAGATGGGAGAAAAAGTAGAAACAGTGACGGATTTTTATTTTCCAGGGCTCCAAAATTACTGCAGATGGTGACTGTAGCCACAAAATGAAGACACTTCCTCCCCAGAGGAAAAACTATGACAAACCTAGACAGCATATTAAAGAACAGACACATCACTTGGCTGACAAAGGCCCGTCTAGTCAAAGCTAGGCTTTTTCCAGTAGGCATGTATGGATTTGACAGTTGGACCATAAAAAAACCAGAGAGCCGAAGAATGGATGCTTTCAAACTGTGGTGCTGGAGAAGATTCTTGAAAGTCCCTTGCATAGTCAATCCTAAAGGAAATCAACCCTGAATATTCACTGGAAGGACTGATGCTGAAGCTGAAGTTCCAATACTATGGCCACCTGAGGCAAAGAGTCAACTCACTGGAAAAGACCCTGATACTGGGAAAGACTGAGAGCAAGGAGAAGCAGGCAACAGAGGATAAGATGGTTAGATAATATCACTGACTCAACTGACACGAATCTGAGCAAACTCCGGGAGACACTGAAGGACAGGGAAGCCTGGTGTGCTGTAGACCATGGGGTCACTAAGTGTTGGACAAGACTTAACGACCAAATAACAACAATAAAAATCTACTGAAGCAAAGTAAGTTACATACTGCTGATATCCCACTGATAGCTCTTTATTATTAAGTGACTGAATCTTCTATAATTTTTTTTATTTCTAACACTGTTTAAAGTTCTTTTATTAGTCTTATCTCTTTCATCATGAGTATCTCATTCTGAGTTATCTGACATCTTTCGGATGTCTGATAAGAAAGTTACCAAAACCACAATTCCAACTTACTCAAAACAACAGAAATCACATCTTTTATGACATGATTGTTAGTTCCTCATGATTCAACCATTTTCAGAAAGTTCTCCCATTTTCCACCAGCTTTCCATCATTAGACAAAAGACCTCAAACCCTTACCCAAGTATGGTCAGGGCTCCAAGAAATAGAGCGGCACTAGCAATCCTAATCCTCCTCTTTACTCTAAGACTCTGTGATAACTTAGGTAGCCACACGGAGCTTAGTGGTGAATAGAAACACTTAATTTTTCTGCATATTCCACCCCATCTTAAATAAAAACATATTTAAATAAAAACACTTCATCTTAAAAACGTAACTGGTTTGATAAAGCCAATTACTCAACTGACTGAATTTAATTGTTCCTCTGTTGATATTTACTCTTCAATTTTAAATTTGTGAGAGGTTTTAAACACTATTCATCTTACGCCTTAGAAAAGTTGCTTTTTTTCTTCACTGCCATTTTTTAACAAGGAAGCTTTTAAGAACATCTACTCCTTTCAAAGGGATCCTATTACTATACCTTCTAAAATTGTGGAGACGATGTATAAAGCAATCAACTAAGACAAGAATTCTTTTTTTTCTTTTTCTGCTAAGCCTTCATTTTATTGCTTCTGCTAAAACTTCTGAAATGAAGTTAGAACTAAGGAAATCCAACAGTGTCACATTTACAGGTGAGTAAATCTGCTTAGATAAACTTCCATTACTGCTACCTCTTGGCTCTGTAATAGCCCTGAAGTTTCTTATATTACTGACAATCTGTTTCCTTTCCTTGAGTCACAACTTGTGTTTTTAAATAATATTCAAATGTTTTTTATTCTCCTTTGTCCTCAAGTTCCTAAATTCTCAAGCAGATATATTTTATTTTTCTGACACAAAATTATGCACCTACTTTTATCAGAATTATTTCTTCAAAACAAGGTAAAGAATTTCATTCTCATGATTCCAGGTATAAGTTCCAACATACAAGTATCAACAAAATCCATTACCACTTGCATTGAAAGGACAACATCAGACCCTAACAGTGTCTAAGGTTTGCTATCAAAACTAATCTTCCTTCTTCCATATTCCCATAATCCTTCACTTATACCTCTATTACAAAAACCATGATTCTGCCTTGTAACCATACAGATATATATACTCTACTAGAGAAGAGCTTACTTGAGGCAAGATGCTTCTCTGTTCTCTGAATGTATCATCAGTCTAACAATGCTCATACTTTAAAAACATTTGTGGTATTGTATTAAATTCATCAGCGCCAAAAAGATTTGATTAGAGGAAGTATGAGATTCCCAGAAACTCATAATGTAGACAGTTTTACATCCATAACTACTTCTCAAATAGAGCAAACTCAGGCTTTTCAATGGATTTAACCTTAGCTTCACAACAATTTGACATATTTTTTTCATTCTAAGGTACAATTTTACATTTCATCATGCCTGAAATTTAGAAGATTCTTAAAACTACATGGAATGTTACATGTAATTTGTGTGTGTGTGTTCATTCGCTCAGTTCTGTCTGACTCTTTGCAACCCCATGGACTGTAGCCTGCCATGCTTCTCTGTCCATGGAATTTTCCAGGCAAGAATTCTGGAGCAGTGAATCTTCCTGACTCAGAGACTGAATCTCCATTTCTTATGTCTCCTGCATTGGCAGGCGGACTCTTTACCACTGTGCAACCTGGGAAGCCTAGATATACTTTAGAACTATTTAAAAATTCTTGGGTATATATAAAATAATGGTCAGTCTTAAGACGGATGGTATTTCATAATAGCAGTGCACTTTAACAGTGGATGATTAATTTCACTAAGCTTCAATTTCCTACAGTGTAAATGAGACTCAAAATACCTATATCTCAGCATATAAAAGATGTGGTCAAAGAAACTACACCTTTTTAAAGAAAAGGATCAAATGAAAAATAAAAATGAACTGTAAAGAAACTATCTGATAAGCATTAACTGTAATCATGCCTAATAAAGCTCTTGCCACATATCAACAGTCTAATTAAAGATAGCAACCTACTTTGTCATCATCATCATCAAGAGCAAAATCATCATGATCTTGCCTGACAGGGAACTGAGAGGAAAGAAAAGTTTCACACTATAATATTGAAACACCATGTCTTCTGTCCTCTAATTCCTTCCAGTATACTGAAAATAATTTCTATAATTTTTCAACAGATATATAGGCTGCCAGAACACATTTCGAGATTACAAAAAAAAAAAAAAACAAAAAACAAAACAAAACCCAGAACAAACAAAAACAGTCAAGGCCCTGAAAAGACTCATCTTCCTAGTCTGAAGATGAACCAGCTGAAGAAAAATCACCAAGTGAAAGACTGCAGGCTGCAGACAGCAGTAACAATGAGGACCACAAGATGGGGTTATAAACCTTTTGAGGCTGTTGCTGTTCCAGGAGTTGCTGTCTGAGATGTTCAAGATTCTGCTGCTGCAGTTGTTCTGCTATCTGATGAAAGATGGAGTTGTTCACAGATTCCGAAACGTGAGAACTACAAGGAAAAACAAGTGCAAATATATTTTAAAATCCAATAAAGATAATATGAAAGTAACAGAATATTTAAAAACACCCCAAAATGCCAACAAATGGAATTTACTCTACTACAGTGCCTACTTTTATCTTTTTTCAGTGTTTATTTTTAATATTAACACAGAAAATAGAGTAACTTAGAACATTAATATGTTGAAATAGAAATATACTCTTCAATAGTTTCAGTAGATGGATTACATGTTAGACATACTCTGATGAAAATCTGCTATTACTGTCTATAAATTAGTACTTTTTTACATTACAGCATTTTAAGAAAATCTTAATGAAACACTTATAAACCATGACACAATGGGAAAAATGTTCCATCAATCAGTATATGTGCAATCTATAATCAAAGCTGATCATACACTTAAAAAAAAACTAATCTGCTTTCACATTATTAGGCATGTTAACAGAAACAGTGTTTAGATAAGAGGAAATATTTAATTATGCTCTGGGAAATTCACACCTGGAATACACCTGGAATTCTGGGTGCCACAAGGCAAGACATGAACAAAAAAGAGGGTACCCCAAAAGGGGCAATCAGGATGGTGAGAAGTCTTGAAACAGTTGGAAAAAAGTGTACTTCATCTGGAGCAAATAAACCTAAGGGGAAGAACGATACCTATCTTCAAATACTGAATGACTATGTCCCAATAGATTATGGAGCAAATTTGCTTCCTTGCTTCAGAAAGCAAAATGGATCAGTGTGTAGAAAGCAAGTCATGTAGGATTCAGTAACAAGATCAAACCGTATTAACAACTACTTAACTCTATGTCACAGAAGGCATTAAAACAACGGATAAAAAACCTATCAGGACTGTTACAGGAGATTCTTACACTGTAAGATTCGGGACACTGTAATGCTTTGTAGTCTAAAACATTAGTTCTTAATTTTTCAAGTAGAATCTCTTCATCATAAGCCTATAACTGCATTTATATATATTATACATTTTATATATATTATACATTTTAATATATTATCACAACACAGAAAACTAATAACTGCTGAAATAAAGACATCCAGGGGCTTTCCCCACTCATCATCCCTTTCCTATTCTCCCACCTTTCACCTTCCTCCCCAACATCCTCCTTCCCACTGGTCCTCTCCTGAACCCTCACAGAAAACAACTCTTACAGTTGAGAAGCTGGAATCTCCTTTTTGGGTTCTTCACTATGCTCAGAATCTTCCCCAAAATCAAACCTATCCATCAACTTCTAAGTGGGGGAAAAAAAAAAAAAAAGAGGGAGAGAAAGAGACAAATTTAAAAGTACGTTACACAAATACAAGTTACAAATGCTATTCTGAAGATCAATGACATGCCATTAATTTATCTCTATCATTTAAAATGCAACTATTCCTTTCATGTAATTTTATTGTTACATACTGTTTATATCATATAATTTTACTGCTTATTGTTATACTATAAAAAACATTTTGAGTGGACCTTTACTTCTCTTCAAGTAATTCTGACAGACGTTGTCTTATGAAGCAGAACAATCATGACACATAGGATAATTAGCAATACTTTATAGAAGAGAAGATTAGTATTTAAATAATTAAGTGGCTTATCAAGAGTAAAAGTTTTATAAAAAAAAAATCTACAACTATAACCCACTATAATCACAGCTCTATCACCAGCACAGTTCTCTCAGAACACTCCACTGTCCTTTACATGATCAGTCTAAAGGCTTTTTGAAAGCTGTGGGCTAAACAAGCTTAAGCAACATAATCTAGTAAATCAGTATTTATATTTCTATGAAAATAACAGCAGAAATAAAAAGAACATAGATTAACATTTCCAAGGGATAATATTCCTATAATCAGCCAGAATACTGAGGATATCATACAAGTTAAACATCCATGATTTTCAACTTTGAAAACGCTATTCTTTATAGTTATATCTCAATTTATCATATCACAGTAACAACTTGTAAAGAAGCTTTCCTTTGAACTTTCACATACTTCACAATTTTAATTTTAGTAGGTTAAAATTACAGGCCAGACACTAAAATTAATTCATTTGTAACATCCATAAAAATTAGCTCAAAAATAATCATTTGTCTCAATAGTGAATATACAATTTTACTGACCAGTTTTTAGTCAAAAGAAAATAAATGTTTCAAGTGGATTTATAAAATTACATAAATTTCTTTCATAAATTTGATTCTTTTGTAAAATTTATTTCTTAAACAGTACATGTGGGTGTGCTTAAGTCACGTCTGACTCTTTGCGACCCTGTGGACCGTAGCCTGCCAGGCTCCTCTATCCATGGGATTATTCAGGCAAGAATACTGGAGTGGTTGCCATGCCCTCCTCCAGGGGATCTTCCCAATTCAGGGAATGAACCCGCATCTCTCATGTCGCCTGCACTGGCAGGCAGGTTCTTTACCATTAGCGCCATCTGGGAAGCCCATTATACAGCGCTGAGTCACTCAGTCGTGTCCGACTGACTCTTTCCAACCCCACGGACTACACCCAGCCAGGCTCCTCTGCCCATGGGGATTCTCCAGGTAGGAATACTGGAGTGGTTGCCATTTCCTTCTCCAGGGGATCTTCCCAACCCCCAGGGATTGAACCCAGGTCTCCCAGATTGCAGGTGGGTTCTTAACCATCTAAGCCACCAGGAAAACCCTTACAGAGTACAATGGATGTTAAAACATTAAACAGTTCTAGGGTAAACTGTAATTTACATAATGGCAATCTACATGATAGTATAGAAAATTCAGTTCTTCATATAGCACAGATCTGTTATCCTAATTTCTACCTTGTTAAAAGACACCCCTTGTTCTAGGGGATTGAGGGTGTTGGCTGCTGCGGCGGCTGCTGTAAGCTGTGCCGTGAGAGCCTGCAGCTGGACGACAAGACCTGCGTCCAGGGCTTGCAGGATGGAGGGCTGAGGCTTCTGCTGCTGTATCTGCAGGGTCTGTATTAGCTGCTGAAGCTGCAAGGGGTGCAGGGAGAGAAAAGAACAGTGTTACAAACAGGTGTTGGGCTTTACCCATAAGAATGCTCATATAAAACTTTTACTCCATAAAATTTATCATTCTACAGTCTAGAGACCAAGAAAAAAATATATACTGACTCAAAACAATTCATTTTTTAAATAATATTTTTGTGTGTGTGCCATATGTAACAGTTCTAAATAGGTTTGTCTTACTTCTGGAAAGTCAAGGAACTTTAAACAAAATAAAATGACCATACCATGACAAACAACAAAATAAAAACTCATCACAAGCAGACTAATTTTTTCACTAAGCTTTTCATTCCCTTCTTCAATGAACTCAATCTCTGTAAAAGGACAAGCATTTACAACAACTGCCTTTGCTATCATTCAGATTTACCATCTGATAACACATTCCTGAAAGGAGGAAAGAATATAAGGAATCTTTCCTTTGGAGAAGTCTGAAACTAAGGAAATTAAAGATGAATAGGCTCAACAAGAGTTGAAAGCAACCCCTGTCCCCCCTCTATTCACCTTCTCTCTTAAAAAATAGAAATAATAGCAAAATCCTAAAGATATCTCAGTTAAGTAAGCCCTACATATGTCCCAGAAATAATTACTTTCCTACTTAAGATGTAAACCGAAGTTAAATCTGAAAATTATCAGTTGGGAATAGAAAAATAAAAATAGTAAAGCTACTGCTAAATGAGACATTTGTATTCTTTAAGTAAAGTTCAATTTACTGTGAGAGAAGATAAAAATATGCAAGATGACAGTAAGTGCAATAATTCCATGCCTATCCCAAATAGCAACATTGGAAAACAAACCAGTCCTCACCTATCAATAAACATTTACTACAGACTACTAGTGTGATAGGAAAGAAAGCACAAAAACATGGCAGTTGAGATACTGCACTAAAGCTCCCAGGCAGACAGGATGGATGACTGGAAGAAGGGAGTATTACAGGGAGGAAGGAAGGAAGGAAGGAAGGATACGGCTCCACACGTTTTAAATGCGCCTTCCGACACCTGCCTCACCACCTCTCCCCACGGCCCTGGAGTACTGTTATCCTCCTGGTGACCCAGGTTCAAAGTCTGCAGCGTCCTACTCCTTCCTCTCCTCTGACTTCATGTCTTCGATTACTGTGTCTTCTTGACGCTTTGTACTATTCTTCTGTAATACCGATTCTCCTGTCCAAAGTAGCTTTTAATAGATACCTTTTAAAATTAGATTTGTTTTATGGATTCTTTTCAAAATATCATAATCACAGAAAGTTAGTAAATTCTACAATTTAATCTAATATTCAATTTGGTTTCACAACTGTCCCCAAAAAGTAGAAATAGGATCCAATCTAAGACTAAATAAATGAACTGGTTCCACTGTTTTTAAGATTGTCTTTTTAAAGAGTCCACAACTGTACTATTTTTCACATATGTATTACTGCCTTTCTATTATCATTGTTACCAACAAATATACTCCTTATCTCTAGATTTCACCAATAAATACACTCCTTATCTCTAGATTTCTCTTTTTCCCCGTTCATTCAAGTACTCTTCAGATCATGTGACTTCAACATAAAAATCTCTGGCAACTCCTCACTGCTTAGTACATGAATCCTCCACTTCTCAGCCCAGGTCCCACACTTAGGTTTATCACTTCAATGTCATGACTAGTAACTTACAAACAGAGACTATCTTATCTTCTAGAAAATCCAATTCTAAGATCTCTTCTCTATACCCCAACATTGTTATGCCTCTATACATCAGTCATTCACTTCACAAAATATACTGAATACCTGCTATAACCTAGACACTGAAAATACAGCAGTGAGCAAAACAGAAAAACTCCATGCCCTTGTACAGTATACATTCCAGTGGAAAGAGTCAGTGAATGAAACAAATGAGGAAATTACATGAGATATTAGGTGCTAAGGAAGAAAAGAAGGCAAGTGACAAACGGAGCAGAGCAGATGAAAGGCAGCATTTGCAGTTTTAAATAGCTGTCTGAAGGCCTTACTGAGCTAGCATTTAAACAAAGACAGGAGACTGAAATGTGTGAACATGTGGGAAGGACAGCTCGGGGAGTTTTACTGTAGAGATCACAATTAATCTGGTTTTAAAGGATAAGCTTAAAACAAACAAACAAACAAAAAACACAGATTCTAAGGAAAGACAATCTCACATCTGCTGTAACAGGTTCTTCAAATGTCACTCTGTCAGAGATGCTTTCTCTTGGCTACCCTAACTTTGACCCCTTCCTCCAAACCTAGTCACTCTAAAGATCTGCCCTGTTTTAAGTCATATGTGCTAAGTAGCTTCAGTAGTGTCCGACTGTGCAACCCTATGGACCGTAGCCTGCCAGGCTCCTCTGTCCATGTGATTTTCCAGGCAAGAACACTGGAGTGGGTTGCATCTCCTATTCCAGGGGATCTTCCCAACCCAGGGATCAAACCCATGTCTCTTACATCTCCTGCATTGCAGGCAGGCAGGTTCCTTACTGCTAACGCCACCTGGGAAGTCCCTTAAAGTCATACATCTCTATCCAAATGTTTTATACCTCTTTATCGTCTGTCTCCCCTAAGACAGAAAGATATCTTCTCCAAGGCAGAAGGCTTCCCAGTCTCAGTACTGGATTAACAATACCACCTAATAATGCTTGGCAAAGCTATGTGCTAAATCAATTATTTTGGTGTAGAATAAATTATTTGTAAAATAATCTTCAATGATAAAAATGTACATGATGCATTATTAAATTTAAAAAAGCAAGTTGCAAAGTATTATATGTAGTGTGGTCATTTTTTTAAAAATCAAAGAAAAACACTCTTTAGGTAGTACATAATGAAACAATGCATTACGAAAACAATGAGTTCTAAATCATGTTGACATAACAAGAAAAGCTGCTCACCTGCTGGCCTTGAGGACTCTGTAAGATCTGAGCTACCGCTGCAAGGGTGTCTGTGTTTGTTATCTGAGACACCCACGGATCAGGCAAACCTTGGACCACATTGGCTGGAGTGACAGGTGTCACGGGGGTTCCTTTTGGAAAGACAGCAAACCAGTCGCCAATAAATACGTAAGTAAATAAATAAGATGTGGAAAATTAGAGAGATTTGTTCTGTCACTTTTATAAAATATGTACAAATTTATATAGTTTTATTGTCTTCATCTTTAAAAACCATTACAGAATTAGGTTCGTCAAACAAAACAGCAACAACAAAAAGAGCTTTTCATACTTATTCTCAATTAACTAAGCTACTATTTTAAAGGAGCCTACAATACTTGGAAATCATTAAGTACCTTACTAAAGAAGAAAATTCAATAGCATAAGGAAATATTCAATCTCTGATGAAAAATTATAAAAGTGTACATAAAATTATTATTGTTCCAAAATGTATATGTACATAACCCAAAATAAACATATATCAAAATGTTAACAAATGTAATTCTTAGACTATGGTTAAAAAAATTCAAATGTCACTTAAATACTTCAAAAAAACCTCCATGATTTTGATATTATCACTCATTCTTAGATCCATTAAATAAACTTTTTCAGGGTTCTCTTTATATATTAAGTACACTTAGCTCACTATGAATATCAGGTTGATATATAAGCAAGTTTAAAAGATTACAGTCTAAATCAGGGAATATTTAACTGACATACCAAAGTCCCAAGCTGATTATCTATGTTTCTAGGAACTTTAAAAGCTTAGCTTTTTAATTTTTTTGAAAAGAATGAAACACAAACATAATTTCTGATTTATTTTTCCTTCAAATTAGACTTTCTTTCATTTACCTAAAGCAAAACAAATTCTCCTACACTGTCAAAATATTTCATATATGAATAATCGCCTGAAATTCATGAGTAGAACACTCAGAAAATCTCTCAAAGCAACGCACCTGGGGTATTGCTCATAGCAGCAGTAGTACTGGCCAGAACAGGTGTGACGACTGGAGGAGGAATCCCTGCTGCCATATCCAGAAGAGGCTGAATAATCTCACTCTTAAATACATTATTCTTCTGCCATAAGTTTAATACTCTCACTATTTTACTCTAGAGGAAAAAGAAAAATGATTATTTTTATTTTTTTGCTTTCAAAACTTTACAACAGTCATATCATAGAGGCTCCTCGGGCCGTGGATAGGAAGGATGGATTAAAATACTTCTGGGACACTTAATGGAGTTCATGCACTGAGATTACAGTATCAATAAAATCTTTCCTACTGTGGTTATAAAAAAAAAAAATCCCTATATACTAAACTTCCTTATAAATGACAAATATTATTATTATGAAGTCTACAAATTCAAGACTGACTTGTTCATTGTTACTGACATAAATCTAAATCCAAACTAGTGAAATTCCTAAATCAAAGTGTTTAAGTTACTTCAAAAATGTTTATATAAAATTTCAAATGAGTTATTTTAGGTGGCATTCTAAGGTATTTAAGACTCAATTATGATGGATCACATTAAAACTGGAAGCGTTCTTTCTGCCTGCAAAGAATCATCAACGTACCAAGGTTAATTAGAAGGAAAAAAAAAATCTGTCTCAAGAGGCATATCCAAGAACAGTTTACAACTAATGACACAATAATACATTTTCTCCATATTTATCCACTGAAACAAGACTTTTTTCTGATTCAAGACTATTTAACAGTTATTAAAAATAAAAACTACCTAATCTTATACTTGAGAGGAGGTAAAAGATTTGTGGTAAGCTTTTAAGTCTGGTTGCTCTTCTTTAGAGTAAGTCTTCACCTGTTCTTATTTTTCCTACAAAATCAACACTGCAATCAAGTCTGTCAGAACAAGGACACTAAATTTCCAAGTCAGCATCCAAGAAACATAACCTTCTACTATCCTGGTTTCCAGCACTAAGAAAACGCTACCATAACAAAGGAATTTTGATATGCAGTTATTGTCTACTAATTACTTGGTTAATTCGTTTTCCACAGACAACTAAGTAGGTAAATATCAGCTCAGGTCAAATAACCAAAATTACAAACTGATTGTGCATGTAAATAAATAAGATTTTAAGATAATTACAAATGCTTATTAGAGCCAGTTTCTTTAATACCTATGGCTTTAATAAATTAAAAGGTAGCAAAATCAACTATATCTTTCATTCTGTTTTGGAAAAGTCTAATAACAAAAAGAAACATGGAAAGTGCAATAACTATTCAAATTCACGATAACAAATAAATGATAAAATGATAAATTATGACAATGTAAAGTCTTATTAAGATCAAAACAGTAATTACTGCACCAACTTAAAAAAAAAGGCAACATACCTTGTCATCTCCGGGGCAACGGTATAAATTCTGGAAAGTGCTAATGATGTTATTACTAAATCTGGGTGCAAACACATCCTTTTCTTGACCAAACTGATGTCGAGATTGTCGTACAATAGAGTCAATAACATAAAGTCCAGGTACCTTATATTCTGGTTTACACTGATGAAAAAAGAAGAGCGGGAAAGGAAGCAAATGAGAAGGTTAAAGTTCTCAACAGACAAGTGTCACCATAAATCTTATAAAAACACACACACACGGCTCACACTGAGGTGATGAGCATTCAGAGGCTGACCACTCCACACCATCTTGTCTCTGGGATGGCATCTGGAAGAATCTACTTTGGCTACTCTACATATTCAGTTCAACTACCAATCACCTAAGCTCCAAAACAGCCCTGTGTAACTGGCTTGAACAATGAAAAACAAAAGGCGTGGTTAAAATTTTTTTTTTAATTGTTTAATTATTTTTGAATTCAAGCAGTGAGTTCAAGAAAGAAAAGCTCTGGTAAAAAAAAAAAAAAGTACTGCCAACAAGCCTTAGACTTCATCTGAAAAACACACAGCACAAGGGTCTCCATACTAATAAAAGAAGGAATCAAAAGGCAGATTACAACATTCTAAACACAATTGAGTCTGAAGTTTTAAAATTTTTCTCAAATGCAAACCTGTATGAAAGACAAGACACTACCATTATGATTCTAAAAATCTGTCCTATGAAAACATGTTTTAGCTACTTTACTCATCAGTGTTTCTTATTCTTCTTATAATCTGAAGAATATGAAAGTCTCCTGGGACCTTACTAAGCACAGTGAAGAATCCTTCACCACCAGGTTCAAGGCTTCCATTTTTTCCATATCCAGAAGCAGGAGAAAACCTGCCTCCCAAACACATACTAACTAAAGTGAAATTATGGCTGCTAGAAGCAGGTTCAAATTTTAAGTGTAACTAGGTAAGTATTTCATCCACAGTCATTTTATAAAAATCATATATAGCACTAAATCAAAACTGCATTCTTGAAAAATTTCTTAGACCCAAGAACCAGTGAGCAAAGGATCTTCAATCCACCTCCAACACATAGATACGTGTTTCTCAACAGTATTTTCAGTCAAGACAATGAGTGACTTCATTATGCAAAAAGACTAGATCCATCATTTGTTCCTTCAGATCCCTTCTTCTTAAGATCATTATTGAGAAAATGAAGAAACCAATAGCACCAATTTATAAGTATCTATTGCAAGGTTCTGGTTGTTTAGTACTTGAAATATTTAATAAAAGGGCAGTAATGTTGACGTGTGGACATTAAAGATTTAGGTTTAACCAACCAAAGGTTCAAAACTGTCTGCTCTGTTGAAAGTTATTTTTTAGAAGTCTGAGATAGTTTTCAGTGATGTTCCCCCCAAATCTAGCGTATCTGTCCCTCAGTTCATATATCTGGCTTATTTTCCTTTGATTACCATACATGCAAATAATTATCTACCTAGCCAGGCAAATAATACATCCAGTTAAAAAAAAAAAAATGTTTAAATTTAATGAAAAGCCAAGACATTTCCTTGTTAAAAGTCATTTATTCCTCAATGCTGGAAAAACAGACAAAATAAACTCATATATAATGTATTATTTTATAGAAATGATTATCTCGAGAGTAAGGCTAAATAAAACTGCTAAGTTGCTGGTAAGAGTTTTTAAATTTAGTGTAGTGAGTTTAAAAAAAATACATCTTTTTCTTTGATTTATAACAAAAATTATTGATTATAAACTCACAGTACATATGAATTATGAGTACACAACACAATAAACGGTCCTTTCTTCCCTACTGTGAAGATTCCAAAGCTTCAAAAATGTTAGGGGTTTTAGTGTTAAGCTATAAAGATGAACAGTTCTTTCACAATGCCTTTAGAAACACCATATTATGATGTTACAGTATCGAATTTCCTTCATTGATAAGACAAGGTATTTTTATGTGCCTGCCACATAAAATGGCAAAAAAAAAAAGTTATGTATGATTTAAATGTTGTAGAAAAGCTTTAAAATAACAGTATTTGGTAAACTTGGTTACGTTACCAACTAGAAACTTGAGAGAAGAATTAAGACTAAAAAATCTGACGTTTTTCAACTGTTTGTTCAAGTTCTATCAGAAGCAAAAACACAAGAATTCCTAAGCCTCCAATGTCATGAGGGATTTTTTATACTTTGAATTAACTGTGGCTGTACTTACAAAGCACTACATGATGCTGACAGTAGCAGGTAAGAAAAGAGGGCTGTCTCAGGACACAGTTATACCTGATACCAATGAATTCTCAAAGTGAATACTGCATGCTTCCAACAGAGGAGAGGGAAAGGAACCTTTCCAAGAGAGCCAAAGCATTCAGGCCTTAACAAGGTCTACTCTCAGGGAAGCCTGGCATGCAGGAGTCCATAGGGTCACAAAGAGCCGGAGACCACTGGGAGACTGAACAACACTCAGGAGAAACTTTTAACCAGAGCCTGATCTGCTTTGGTTTTACAAGAGCCTAAATGACCCACCCTCAGGGAATCAGAACCTGCATTTCAACAAGATCCCTAGGTAATTTGTGCAAGCTTCTTATGCACAAAAAAGTTCAAGACACAATGTTTAGACATTTGACCCTTTTTAAAGTTTTATAACAATGAAATTTTCTTAGCACCAACATTTTGATCTTATAGTTAGATTTACCTGAAACTTACAGTATACATGTTATTTTACCCCATACCTTAAGCTTCAATTCACTAGTTGTTCATCTCAAAGTATGTTTTACCAGTACTTTAAGTTTTGAGAAAACAAGATGTTAAGAGGGGAAAAAAGCTGAATCACATAAAGATTAACTGATTTATTCAAGATTATCCATATAGTTTAGAGACGCAGTAATACTACTCTGATCCATGCACCCTCCTCCAGTCAACTATTTTCACTCAAGAAACACACTGCAATTTATGTCCTTTGATTTACCTCTGATTCTCAAACTGGTTCTGCTTACATCTAGACAAGTGAACAAAGGGCAGAATACAAAACCTCAATTTAATGACAGATTTCCTACAGTATCATTTTACAAATTGTAAGTCTTATGGCAAAAATAAGCCACTGATCACAAAGAGGCAAAGAAATATAACCTAGCCACCTTGGGCTCTGGTTACAAAAAAATTACTAAATGTATGCAAAAATAGCTGTTTTCAACTTCTCTCCCTCTGCTTACCCTGGAAAATGGAACTTCAGGTCTAATAATAAGATGTAGAGATGCATACTGCCCTAATGGATGAGACAAAATCAGCAGAAGAAAAGTGGCTAGCATTTTTACTACATTTTACTACATCTTATCCATAAGGAAGACTGCTCTCTAGGCATTAAGCTTGAAATGAAGAAGGAGAATTTCTCTAAAGGCTATATAAAAAGCAATGAATCTAAAATTTCATTTAAAAAATCATATTGAAATATTTTCTTCATGGAACAGATGCTCACTATAGCAATGCAAATTAACAAACACATCTACCTGAAAGCTTTCGTTTTAGAATTAAAATAATTCTATTTCTTCATTAGAAATTAAAACAAATGGAATCACTTTTGAACAGTCATCAAAACAATTTAAAGTTGGGTATTTGACTGCAAAAAGAATAGCACAGGGTGTTAGTCTATAGTTACAGAACATTTAGCATATACATAGAAAACTATATACTTACTTTCTGAATGAATTTCTCAACACTCTGTACCACATGTTTATAGAACTAAAAGAAAAAAAAAAAGAATTCTGGTTTTAAATGTTTGATTAGAACTTTTCTGCTAAATATATGGTTTAACAAAGCATCAAAGTCTATCAACAAAGCAATGAATTTTAATCATGAATTTGAGATAAACATAACGTAAACAAACATAAACGTGAGCACTAGCTGAGGTCAGGAGAGGTTCCTGAAGTAGGTATATGGTCAATATAGCCAAAGTGTGTTACATGCAAAATACTGGTGGTAAGCCACTGGTAGATGTGCATTCTTCCCTCCTGGAAGGAAAAGTAAAGATCTCCTATAGTAACATTTTATTGGCTAAATTAGGTGAGAACTAGAAAAATCAAATAACTGAAAATAAGGAACATTAAGAAATGTATGCAAGGGAGTTGTTTTCAACTTCATTATCTTCTGCTTCTCCTAGAAAATGAAACTAGCAAGTATATGTAACAAAATATAGAGATGTATAATGTTTGAATGGATCAGCCAAAATGAATTCAGCAGAAGAGAAGGGAGCACATGGATTAAAAATCAGAAATGAGCTTTTATCAATTATGAGAAAACCCTTTACATTTAAGTTTTATAAAACAACACTATGAATAAACTTGAAAATGAATAAAATGAAAATTATAGGTTAAACAAACACTATGTGGAATTTGCACCTAATAGCTCAATGGCGATTGCATAATGAACATATTTCTGTTTAAAAAACTAGCCTCAATTGTGCTTCGTTTTATATTTGTGATCCTATAATTTAAACTGCTCCCATCTACTTAGACTGAGACACAAGAACACTCAACTGAAGCATGAAATCCAACATTTATAAAGTAAAAAATAAAGGAACCCCTCATTAATCATATTCACCAAATCAAAATCTACAATAAAGTTTCCATACCACAAAGTAACAGTCTACTCAACAGTTCAAGTTATTTAAAAAAAAAAAAAAAAGCCAAAACAACTACTTGAAAGTTATTAGGCACTTTATAAATAACTAAATATTTTAAATCAATATGTAAAATACCATTTACACACACTGAGTGGTTTTTATTAAATAATAGTTCTTCTGGAAAACATCTTGCCAGAGCTTCTTACTTCTTGTTACTTTATGTACGATTTGTAATTCTGAGTAAAACAGCTTAGTAAATGTTAATTCAAAGATTTTCAATTCACATAGGTCTTTTTCCATAATAGGTTATCAGAGGTTGTGTGGACAGTGTGCAATGGTAACAAACACCCATCAAAATAATCATCTCTTAACACTGACAAAAGGCCAATGACTTACCTTAATATGAAACACAGTATCATAAAAGGCAGTTCAAATATCAATTTATGTATGTATCAAATGCAGTTTAAAGTAACACAGTACTGCAAAACAGCTGGTCTAAACTCTTCAAAAATGTCAATGAAAAACAAAACTAAAACAAAGCAAAAGGCTGGGTAAAAGGACAAATACATGACAGGATCTTGACTGGACCCCGAAAACATACAAGTGCAGGGATTAGCTACTAAAGTTAGTATTGAGACACTGATAAATGAAAGTGTAGATTTTATTAGATAATAATGTTGCATCAAAGTAAAATTTCTTGCATGGGATGTGTTTTGTTGATCTATGAAATCTTTTTGCTTTAGGACATTAAAATTCTAGTATTTAGGGATTACGTGTTATTCTAAATGAATTCTGAAATGAGTTCTCAAACGACTCAGTCAAAAAAGCCTGACAAAGTGTGTGTGTGTGTCTGTGTGTACATGCAGAGAACTAACCAAATGTACTGGCCAAGATGCTGCTGCTGCTGCTAAGTTGCGTCAGTCGTGTCCGACTCTGTGCGACCCCATAGACGGCAGCGCACCAGGCTCCCCCGTCCCTGGGATTCAACACCGGAGTGGGCTGCCATTTCTTTCTCCATGCTAATACTTGGCAATTCTAAGCGGCTATGTACTGCTCATTCTATTTTGCAACATGTTTTTATTTTTTCAAAATTAAAGAAACTAAGTACCAGTAAATCAAAATGGTACAGTAAACCACGTTTAGACTATAAACCATGTTTTCTCTCTTGACTGAGAGAAAAATTAAAATCTAGCTGTTTTTATTCTGACTGTTGCAAATTACTTTTCTTAGACCCTTCCAACATCTGAAAAATGGAAACAATGTTAATACCTATTCCTTAAAAGTCTTCAATTAAAAAGTATTCTGTTCAACAAAAGATTTTATTAAAATGCATCAACCATTTTACAGAACAAAAATGATAATATGTATGTTTGCACACTCTCAGGATCACAATCATAAAAATCAGACTATAATGAAGGAGAATAAAAAGAAAGCACAAGAAACTATTACTCTATATTGAACTCATCAGATTTACTGAAAAATCACTTCTTTGAAGAAAATTCTCTAGGTTAAACGTGTTTATTGCTCACTGCCCTTATCTCTCTTTCATATACTTTAGGACATTAAAATTCTAGTATTTAGGGATTACGTGTTATTCTAAATGAATTCTGAAATGAGTTCTCAAACGACTCAGTCAAAAAAGCCTGACAAAGTGTGTGTGTGTGTCTGTGTGTACATGCAGAGAACTAACCAAATGTACTGGCCAAGATGCTGCTGCTGCTGCTAAGTTGCGTCAGTCGTGTCCGACTCTGTGCGACCCCATAGACGGCAGCGCACCAGGCTCCCCCGTCCCTGGGATTCAACACCGGAGTGGGCTGCCATTTCTTTCTCCATGCTAATACTTGGCAATTCTAAGCGGCTATGTACTGCTCATTCTATTTTGCAACATGTTTTTATTTTTTCAAAATTAAAGAAACTAAGTACCAGTAAATCAAAATGGTACAGTAAACCATATTTATACTATAAACCATGTTTTCTCTCTTGACTGAGAGAAAAATTAAAATCTAGCTGTTTTTATTCTGACTGTTGCAAATTACTTTTCTTACACCCTTCCAACATCTGAAAAATGGAAACAATGTTAATACCTATTCCTTAAAAGTCTTCAATTAAAAAGTATCCTGTTCAACAAAAGGTTTTTATTAAAATGCATCAACCATTTCACAGAACAAAAATGATAATATGTATGTTTGCACACTCTCAGGATCACAGTCATAAAAATCAGACTATTAATGAAGGAGAATAAAAAGAAAGCACAAGAAACTATTACTCTATATTGAACTCATCAGATTTACTGAAAAATCACTTCTTTGAAGAAAATTCTCTAGGTTAAACGTGTTTATTGCTCACTGCCCTTATCTCTCTTTCATATTCTACATGTAAATACAGAGATTTGAACTCTAATACTGTTAGACATTGATTACAAGTATGAAAACTAAGGTTTGACTGTTAGAACACTGCAAAATCAACTATCTAAATTTTTTCCTAAAACAGACTCTCTGTGAAGAATCATCTGTTAAATCTAACAGATAATGCTATCATTCAAAGACAACTTATCCAGGGAATTCCCTGGCAGTTCAGTGGGTAGGACTTAGTGCTTTCACTGCTTGGAGCCCAGGGCTGGATCCCTGGTTGAGGAACTAAAATACCAAAAGCCCCTCAATGAGGCCAAAAATACAAACAAAAACAAAAAAATAAAGATAACTTATTTAAATAATGGTGCCTCTGGTTATGGCTGATGTTCTTACTCAGAGTAGAAAAACATATCACTGAAAATCTACAGCAGACCTACTTAATTCAAAATAAGCACTCACTCACACTCAATTTCAACAACTGGACTAGAATAGGAGTCTTAGCTTTGGGGACAAGAACGTTTTGGAGAGGTGTCTATGGCTGAGCTTCAGAAGGTCCCTAAAGCCAAGAAATTCTACTCAAAATTTTGTACACATGTGCATTCCTCTAGCAACAGTCCAACCTTCTGAGGCAAAATTTTGTACATGTGTGTACTTCTCTGGACAGTCTAATCTTCTGAGACTTTCAGAAGTATCCATAAGTCAACACAGGTTCAAAACTACTATGTCAGAGCAAGAGCTAAACTCCTGTGGCCTCTTCCCAGAGTTTAAATGTCCTATGTAAAATGTAATCCAATTATTTTCCATAAAGGTCCATTTTCAAATCTACAGTACAATCAATAAGATAAAAAAACCAACACATTAATTTTTATTTAGAAAATTTTAAACTAGTATTTCAAGATTCTATAGTCAGTGTGACAAATAACAGTGTTAAACACATTCTCCACAATGTGCCTGTATCTAAAATCTTACCTATGAAAAGGGAAAATGCTTCAAAGTTTATGGAAGAATATTTATGAAAATATTAAGTGTTTATCTCTAGTTGGGAGGGTTTGCAGGTGACAGATTTTCATTTTTGTGGTTTTCCAACTTTGGAACATGTGTGCTCACTTTGTAAAGATGAAGAAAATATATAATCTGTAAAAATTATCCCTCCTCCAAAATATTAGTGTAGTATATGTCCTTGTGAAAACAGAAGAGTGAAATGTGTTACTCACCTTTATAGCTTTGATGGCTGCCTTAGTGATTTGGGTCATTTTCGCTTTAGAAATGGGCGGCTTGTAGTCATTCAGAGAATACAACTGATGAAAAAGAGCAAAGTTTAAACACAGTAAAACTAATGGTCTCTATGCAATTACATGAAATTACCAAACATTTCTATTTTTACATCCTCAGTGAAATTGAAGTGCTGCTTTTCTTTTAAAAATCAAGTTCAGCATCATTAGCCATCAAGCAAATACAAATTAAAACCACTATGAGATTATCACTTTACACTTACTTGCTTATAATCAAAGAGACAGAGAAGTGTTAGCAAGAATGTAGAGAAATTGGAATCCTGACATAGTCCTAACGGAATGCAAATGACGCAACAGCTTTGGAAAACAGTTTGACAGTTCTTCAAAAAATTAAACATAATAATATACAGTACGAGCCAACAATTCCACTCCCAGGTATATACCCAACAGATGTGAAAATACGTGTTCCCATAAAAAGTTGTACACAGTCACTGCATTATTCATAAAAAACTCATTTAAAAATTGCAAACTAGCTAAATGTCCATCAGATGAGGAATGAATAAACAAAATGTGTTCTACCCAATTAATGAAATATTAACCATGAAAACAGAATGAGGTACTGATGCATACTACAGCACAGATGGACCTTGAAAACATGCTCAGTTTAAAAGGTCACATTTAAAAGACCACATGTTAGCGAACTGCATTTATATGAAATGTCCAGAAAAAGAAATCTACTGGGGACTGTCTACAGCGGGCCAGTTGGGGAGAAATGAGGAGTGATAACTAGTGAGTACAGCGTTTCTTTTTCAGGTGATGAAAATATTCTAAAATGTACTGTGGGGAAGACTGCACACCATACTAAAAACCACTGGACTACACACTTTCACCTGGTTAATTGTGTGGTATGTGATTGCTTTCACATACCACATAATTGCTTTCAGAAGTCAAGAGACCTAATGTTTAGCAACAATCCCACCGTTCCCCCCAAAACTTGTTTTAAAATTTCTCATATAAGCAAAGGATAATAATACTGCTTAGAGAGAAAACAGTTAAAGACAAGGTGGGGAATTAACCAAAAGACAACTAAGCTTAAATAAATCCTGATGAAAAGTGGGTACTGAGTAATGCTAGGAATTTAACTACAATTAACTAGAAGTCGAGAGACCAAGCTTTGGCCATCATGATCCTGAAAAAAACAACTTGAACAGGGCCTCCCTGATGGCTCAGTGGTAAAGCATCTACCTGCCAATGCAAGAGACACAGGTTCGATTCCCTGGTCTGGAAGATCTGACATGCCGCTGAGCAACTAAATCCGCCTGCCACAACTACTGAGCCTGTGCTCTAGAAGCCCAGGACCCACGACGACTGAGCCCACGAGCCCACAAGCCCAAACTACTGAAGCCCTCGTGCTCCAGAGCCCGTGCTCCCCAACAAGAGAAGCCATGGCAATGAGCAGCCTGCACACTGCAACTAGAGCAGCCCCTACTCGCCACAACAAGAGAAAAGCCCTCACCAACCAAGACCCAGTGCAGCCAAAAAATAAATAAAATTTAAAAGAAAAAAAGAAAAAACTTGAACAGACTATGAAAGCAACTCAAATCAGCTTTAGCTGGTTAACCAACTAGGTAGTCCTCTAATGTGTTTGTTCCAGCACCCCTTATAACCTATTTATCATTGAATTCTACTGATTTTTACCCAGTTTTCCCTGTATTTGTCTCTTCTTCCTCCAACCACCACCATGACCCAAGTCCAAATTACCTTCATCTCTCACATGGAGATGGCATGCCTATCTTTTCAAAAACTAATCTGATCGGGTGACTGATACTCACCTACTTCCTCTACCACCTTAAAAAGTTCAATAATTTTCCACTCGCTACAGAAACACAAATCTACGTGAACAACGTGGGTGCCTGGTCTCATTTGTGCCAGAGGCCAGGCACAAATGGGCCTCTGCCCTAGGCACAATGGTCTTTTTTCACCAGAGCCTTCCTCTATTTGGTACAGAGCCAGGGTCTCCCCACCAGTTTTCCTAACGAGGAAAGCCTTCCCCACATGTGCCCAATCAGAACTGTCTCCTTTACACCCTCACTGAACTGCCATTCCCCTTTGAAACTTTCATCATAGTAATGTGACACTTGTATGATTATCTAACGAACATTTAATTTTTAAAAGGACTGTTCCAAAGGGTGACAAAGACTGACAATCCTGAGACAAAGGATGTAAGCTCCTTTAAAGCAGTTTAAGCAGCAAGAGGTGAACTGTGCCCCAAGACCTGTCCAAGCTGAAATGAACACTAGCAGAAGTATAAACATCGTTCCCTTTAAGTTCCCACAGAGGTGTCCACTTGTTGATGATACTGCCTAACCAGGGTTACAATCTCATCAGATCCTTTAAGAAGCCACCTCTGTTAAACTCACACCAAAATTTAATATGCTCGGGGCCTCAATTCCTACTTGTCTGTTTTATAAAATCTAACTGCATGCAAGTCAACTTGCCAGGAGCAAAATAACATGAACACGTTCTGCAGTATCTACAGCAAGCTGTGTAAAGCAAAGTTCAATTTCCCAGTTAGCAGGTACAGACTGCAGCCCATCTGAGATCCAGACCTACCCTCTCCTAAATGGTGAAGAATCCACCTGCAATGCGGGAGACCTGGGTTTAATCCCTGGGTTGGGAAGATGCCCTCGAGAAGGAAATGGCAACCCACTCCAGTATTCTTGCCTGGAGAATTCCGTGGGGAGTCAGGAGCCTGGCAGTTTACAATCCATGGGGTTGCAGAGTCAGACAGGACTGAGCAACCAACACTCTACTTCCGCTGCTATACTGCTCCACCAGAAAACAAGCTCGAAGAACAGAAACTCTGCCTCTTTTTTTACATCCGTTTCCCTTTATCCCTGCTGTATCCTCAGTGTCTGACAGAGTCAGAATTTGTTAAGAATAAATTTAAGTGAACAAATACCTGTAAGATACAGGATTGTACAAGCTTTGCACAGAAACACCTGAATTTGAACTCCAACTATGTCACAAGCTACCAAATCTCTGAACCGTAGTTTTCTCATTTACAAAAGAGTAGTAATATTCATTTCACAGAAACATTGCCTATAAAGCTTTAAAATACACTTAAATCACGCAACAGGGTTAGCCATTATTAAAATTATCTTTGGTAGGCATNAGTAGTAATATTCATTTCACAGAAACATTGCCTATAAAGCTTTAAAATACACTTAAATCACGCAACAGGGTTAGCCATTATTAAAATTATCTTTGGTAGGCATTTTCCATTTAAATGAACAATATTCAAGTGTGCATCAAACACCTATTCACTCAGGTTCCTGAAGGGACATTCCATACTAATTTATATTACTAGGGCAATGAAGACGCCTCAGGGTCTTCCCAAAGCTGACAATTTACTTCATTTCGTGTGGTAAAGCCCTAAAGTTTCAATCACCCTAAAGTTTCAATCAAGCATTAGTCCATATTCTAGCATATCAAAAGCTTCTTTCTTCTTTTTTGGGGGGGAAGGAGGTGATTGGAGGGGGGTTGGGAAGAATGAGGCAGGGGAAATGTTAATTTAGACTTACAGAGCATTTTAGTAACAGTGTCAAAAGTCAGCTCTTATCAGAGACGTTCTTTTTAAAAATGTACCTACTGCAGAAACTTAAAGCACTACTTAGAGAAATACTAAGCAATTAGTAAGTACTTTTCAAAGGTTCACTTAATATATATGCTTTCGACTAACTATCCAACAAGATTCTCTAAAATCTCACTTCTTTAAATCTAATCACCAGAGAAGAGGCATAGATCGTGTCATCTAATTCTTCACAGGATGCCTTTACTCAAATTTAACCACGTCCCAGTATTGCCCTTCCTTTGGCTACTCAAGACTTATTGATTCACAGGAAAGATACTAAACAACAGCCTGGGTTTTCAGTCCAATTCAGCCATTCTTTTGTTTTTCCAACTCCCTTCAGGTACACTGAAGAATCATTAACATTTAAATTTTCTACTTTATCACTTGTAGGCACCGTATGAAATGAGTGTTTTTAGATTTGAAAATAACTTCAAATCAAATCAGTTTCTAATGACTTTAATCAAGGCCAGAGGAATCTTGAACCTAAACAGTTTCTTAGTTGCTGTCTGGCTACCCCACCAAAAAGTTTATCTCAAAGACTTGTAAAGCTGTCCACTACTGATCAGGCCAGGGTTCAGCACAGCACATATTTTAGGCTTTGAATGCTACACGGCTGCTATCACACACCAGGCATCTTTCACTTCACTGTGTTTTGCAGACATACTAAAGTTGTGGCAACTCTGGGCTAGTTAGTGAAGAAAGCATGCTGATAAGCCTCCTGCACCAGTTAAGCTGTGAATGCAAAGGAAAAGTTCTTGAAGGACATTAAGTGCTACTCCAATGAACAGACAAATGATGAGCCCGCAAAGTGGCCTTACTGTGGATACAGAGAAAGTTTCAGTGTCTGGAGAGAAAAGTACAGCAGCTGCCACATTCCGGAAAGCCAAAGCCAGAGCAAGTTTCTACTCAATTCTCTGAAGGCCGAGAGAGGTGAGGAAGCTGCAGAAGTGTGAAGCTAGCAGAGAAGATTCATGAGATTTAAGGAAAGAAGTCATCTCAGTAACATAAAAGTGCAAGTGAAGCACCAAATGCTGATGGAGAAGATGCAGCAAGTTATGCAGACAATCTAGCTCCAATAATTAAAGTATCTCCAGAAACAACAGATTTTCAATGTAAACAAAACAGCCTTAAGTTGGAAGAAGTCAGGTAGGACTTTCATAGCTAACAAGGAGAAATCAATGCCTGCCTTCAAAGTTTCAAAGGACAGGCTGACACTCTTGTAAGAGGCCAATGCAGCCAATGACTAGTAGAAGCTAATACTCATCTACCATGAAAATCCTACCTCCTTGAAGGATCGTGCTCAATCTACTATGCCTGGGCTCTCTAAATGGAACAACAAAAGTTAGATGACAGCACATCTATTTACAACATTGCTGACTGAAAATATTTTAAATCCATTGTTGAGATCTACTTACTGCTCAGGAAAAAAAAT